CCAAGTTGGTAATTGATTAGCAATTGGTATCTTGGGTTGTAACCCATTCTGTGACTTCCCTTTGGAGTTTACCCAGCTAATGTGATACAATCCAGGCTAAGCACTTCTTTGGCCGAACATGGGGGATGCGGTTAGTCCAAAGAATCAAAGAACAACAGATGCGTTGTCAGGGTTGAACTCCTGACGCCTAGGGTTCAGTTTGTTTCTGCCTGTGTCCATGAGCCTTGCAAATTGGGAGTCATGACCCTTTTTGTTAAACGGTCCTGAGTCTATGGAAACACTCACCAGTTGACCTATGTTCCATGGGAACAACACAGTGCACCGGAGGTTGGCAAGAATGGTCATCAGCTTGAAAAGTTGAACAAGCAAACCACGACTATGACCCACATGGGGAGTTTTGATCGAGTTTCACATCAGGTTGTCATAGAGGGTATCGCTGGGAAGTTTCGGACGTGCTGTGCCAGGGGAGGAAAGGCTTCTTGAGAAGAGAGTCCGAAGAATGACCTTCGGTCGCTGATTTGACACATGTTGCGCCTTACTAGTATGAAGCAGCGGTGCAACAGATTGTTCATTTCACAACCCTGCCTAACTTCAATTAAACCTTCATGATATTGCACGAAGGGTGTTTCAACTGCTTGGACTTCTGCTCGGATTTGCCTTTTTAGACCCCTCGTTTAGCTGAAACACCCATCCAGCCTTACAGGCTCGACTGGACAACCCCAAGAACACCGGCGCGCTTTCTTCTCAACATCAGGCTGGTGTTTAGCACCATTTAGGCCAAGGCCGTCTCCTCTAAATAGGTTCAGGTACGGAGAAGGATCTTGAACAGATTTACAAGCCCTTGTTGATTGACCAGGCGAGCCTATTAGGGTGGGGTGTTCCCGTTATTGGCTCGGAGTTAACATTATAGGGAAGCCTAACAACGGTTTGCCGGCTGCCTTGCAGCACGACTTATCACCCCTCTATTATGGGGGGTTGACCACTATTCCGTGAAAGGACCCCAGTTTGACCATGGCCAACTTTTCCCATGTGGGACACATCATCTTGTGGTTTTCCAACCCATCATCATCCCATGGTTTACCGGGCCCTGTGAACCCCCATTTCACCCCTAAGACATCGCCACCTGGGTTTTGGGGACAATCCCTGAACACCCCATAGAACCCCATTTGCGATTTTGGGTATAACCCCTGAAGTACCGCATAGCACCCCAGTTTGCCGGGCTTCGGGTAGGTGGTTTCGGGGTATGTGACTTCGCCCTTAGCCATCGCGGCGGGTTGTCCTCAGGCGACCATGGGGCGGCCCTGCCCACCTTGGAGGAAGCCAGGCTCTACGCCGCTGGCAGCGGCGGGGGGTCCCTGCGGCAACGACCCCCCCCACCCACCCCGTGCACCAGGCAGAGTGTGAGACATCGTGAAAAGACGTGGAATGTGACATGTATTCACGATTCACCGGGGTAGCAAGTGACGAGGTCAGCAAGAAGAGCCTACCCGCCCACCCACGCAGCAACAACAGATGTTTGGTGCGCAGTATGGTAGTCATGCAGGGGCACTGTGCACTTTCTGTCAAACAGGAAGACCAGTCACCTCTGACCCGTGGCAATGCGCCGTTGACAGGCCGCCCCCTAAGAAGGGGAACCCCTCCTCCCAAAAAAACAACGCAGCCGTGGTGCCTTTGGTTTGGGTTGCCAATGTGGCTTCAACGCCCACCTCAACCAAAGGAAGAACTTGCGCCTTGACTTTGGACAGGATCCCCTGAAACGTACATGTGGGCCAGTAGAAAAGTATAAGCAGTACACCTTAGCTTATTTAGAGGATCCCTTTGTAAAGCAGATAGTTTTTGGAGGTATCCTTCTACCGACACCTTCAAAAACCCGCGACAGGGGGCTCGACTTCGGGCAGCTCTCACGCGAGTTGAGGCGATGGGCACGTACTGCCTCAGCCCTTGGAGGAGCGACGGAGCCTACGTGCGTGTGGCCTACAGGTGCGGGACAGGGAGGACGTTTGGGATAGGTGTTGTGGCTTCGACGCCGAAATGGCGGCTAGTTTGTCGGAGGACGGCAGGCTGTACCATAAGCATATTGAAGGAAGTGAAGGGTTGCCATGTCTGTGACGTTGTAGAAGGTGATGGGACCCTGCTTGCTGGACCCTCTTTGAGGTTGATTTCAAGGGGCTTCACCTTTTTCGTTCGGGAGCTTCCTGCTTTGGAGACAAGCCCATGCCGCCATGATGTTCAATGGCTAGAAGTCCACTTTGGGAAGGATGGCGCTTTGTGCATACTTGTGAAAAATCAAGCGTGTGCTTTGTGACTGGCTCCCGGAGGCCAGACTGTCATCTAAGAAGTTGTTATGTGTTTTGACGTTCATGCTCAATCTCCACCATTGTTTAGGTGCGCACTCGCCAACTTGCGATTAGGATCCAATGTGCTTACTTGAACTCCATTGGAAAAGAATGGAGGTCACCAAATGTGCGGCCCCCCCCAATTCCTATCGGCCCCCTAACCCCGCCAACCCCTCGCCGGTTCTCATGGCCATTTCGGCTCAGAGCATGAGCCACGTGAGAGCTCAGGGGCCCGAGTCAGCCAGGCGTCGCATTATGCGAGAAGCCCCAAAACCGGGACGAACAAGGGAAGGTGGCCGAAGGCTTCAAAACTGAACTAAGTCATGATCATAGCTGGATGTTCGGCATTTTGACCCCTCATACCGTGGGGAAAAGTGGTCACCAGTTGGGATGGATGAAGCCCTATGAGCCTATGAATGCTTGGATGACCCACCCAGCTCGTGCAGGTATTGTCCATCCACCTTTGGGGATCTACCTGATTTCATTGGGATATAGGAAGCAACTCTAGCCACGGTAGTGGCACCAAAGGTCGACCGTTTTCAGGTCCTAATTATTCTTTGGTTTTTGAGAAACCACGGGGCCGGTATTTTCTCATGCCCGGTAAGGTAACAGTATTGTTTATCTTTTGAAGCGTGTTGCTTTGCACAGTACAAACTTGTGGGCTGCCAGGGGCTTGAGAGACCTGTTTCCTTTCTTTGCGTGTGGATTCTCATTGACAATGGTTGGCCCAAAAAAGGGTTCCGTTTGCGCCAGGGATACTGAGCACCTGGGGCTGAGTCACTGCACTGACACGTCTGCAGATCAACATGGAACGCAACAAAATCAAACTGCCCTTTGTGGAGGAATCTATCTCTACTTAACATTCGTTTGTGAGCCACTTTTTGCGGACTTGCAAGGTAAGAAGGTCCTTCAGATCAGGTAGGAACAAGTTAGAGCTTCTCAGGTCCTACACTGGAAAACGTCCCTCACTTCGCCTTTGACAAGATTTGGTTTGGTCCGCCCGCCTTACCTGGTTTTGATTGCGTGCATTGGTCCCTAGGAAGCCTAGGGATTTCTATGTCTATGTCAGTCTATGTCCTTGAGCAGAGCCCTGGTTTCCAACAAACCCCATTTCCAGCTGCCCGGCCAGGTGCCCCTTTGTCTAGTTTCACATCCCCTTCTGCAAGAACAAGAACCTCCAAACCAGTTGTTCGAGGGGATTCTATACCGTGTTTGAAGGAAGACGAGTGTACCTTGAGGCGATGTCTTCTTTGAGTCTTGGCCCGCCCTGACCTTGCAACAGCAGCACCTTGCAACAGCACCCTGCGCAACTCGCCTTGCAGCGCCGCTCTGGGGGCGAAAGGGAGCGAGCCGAGTCCGCCGGGGCCAGGCTGCGCGCTGGCACGCAGCACCTGCAGTCCTTGGGCCGCGGTTCTCGATGGCGAGGTGCCGTGAACTGCTTGGAGCAGCTGACCCAAGAGCTGCAGGATCGGATGGCTGGGGGTGGTCAATCTATATTTAATTATCTGCATACATACTTAGATATAGTATACATATATATATTATCATATATATATATTGTTTACTTATATATACACACATATACATATATATATATATATGTAGATAGGTCTTTGGTTTCCCTCAGCCCCCCCCCCAAAAAAAAAAAACAAAAAACGGTGTACCAAAAAAGCACGCAGCCAGGTGTTTCCTTCTTGTTCAGGGGAACGACCCAACCATGGACAAGCCTGGCCCGAAGGGCAAATGGAGTATGGCCCCAACTGAAGCATGCGAAGCGGGCGGCCTCAGCCATCCTGTGTGTTGTTGTTTTGTTTCTCTGGTTTACTCCCTTACAACAATTAGCGGAAGGAGTTCCCCAAAAATGAGTTCCCTCTACAAATCATGGAACTCTGGGTTCCATGATGATTTTGCACTTCTTTTTTTTCAAATAGCAGGGGGATGGATCTCACTTCTTAGTTCCCTCTTGCAAGAGTATTTCAGGCTACATCCACGTCTTGGAAGCAACGGCTGTGGCAGTGAATCTGCTCTGCAGCCAAATGGTTTTGTTTCAAACTAGTCAAAATGGCAAGCCCCAAAATGTGAGGGGCCCCTGTTGGTTTTGCTTTAAACCAACCCCAAATGACCAATTCTGAGCAAAATTAGTTTCAATTTTCTCTTGGGGGATGCAAGGGGTGTCACATCCCCTACAACAAACAGGCTTTACCCCCAGTTGGGGGTAGGCGCTGCCAACTGGAGCCGATGCCTATATGTCTGGGGAGCTTCCTGAAATTTGGCCAACCAAAAACGGAAATTCTAAGCACTGTTTTTCTTTCTTTTGGAAAACAGAACAGCCAGAACCAACAAAAGATCAAAGCGACTACCGGAAGCCAGACCCTTGGATGCCTCAGGCAGATGTGGTGGTCATCTCCGCGGCCCTCACCGCCTGCGCGCCTGGAGCTGCCTGGGTCCACGCGCTGCGCCTCCTGCGGACAGCGGTGGACGCCGCGCTGCGCGCCGACGTGGTGGCATACGGCGCGGAGATCGCGGCGTGCGAGAACCTCGACGTGAAGGTCGGTTTGGTTGGTTTGTCGATCGGTTGGTTTGTTGGTTTTTTGGTTTGTTTGATGTGTTGGTTGGTCGATCGCTTGGTTTGTTTGTCGTTTGGTTTGTTTGATTAGTTGGTCGGCTTGGGGTTTGGTTGCCCAGACATCCAGTGGTGACGAAAGGGTTGCTGGGGGTGTCTTTGCCCGGGCTCCGGAGTGTTTTGGAGCTCTGGGGGTTGGCTGTGGGGGATGCCACTGGGCTGATTTTTGGACGGGCGCTGCCCTGTTAGAATCAAGAACCAACTCTAGGCTCTCGGAATCGGTTTGGATGCGGCTTTTGTGGATCCACACCCGTAGGATCTGAAAAGAGTACTCAAAGAGTACTAAAAAAGAACCTACAAGGGGGAAGAACAGGTGAAATCCACGAAAGGCGCAAATCCAGGCCGTTTTCTAGACAGGGCTTTTCCCATGGCCACTTGGCTCAGAAGCCTGAGGAAGCTGGAAAGATTTCGAAGTTTGAGTGAAGAACATGAAGACATTTGTAAATGAGTGATCTTAGCCATGTCCATGTCTTTGGGCAACGAGTTTCCTAATCAGGAGCACTTCACAACTGTCAACTTTACAGCTACAGCTCCCCGCCGCACAGTTTGAGTCAGGTTTCTACATCGCTGTTTTGACAGTGAGGAGAAGTTATGCAAAATCCTAGCGGGAAACGATTCTGGGTGCCTTCTATACACCGCGGTCATTCTCGAATACTGGGTATGTGTCAGATTAAAACATGCTTTTGCTCCAAAAGCTGAGGTAGTGGTACTTGTAGCTTGAAGTGCTAGTCCTTACTTTCGCAAAGCCGACCTCTTCGACCTGTTGATTGCTCGTAATCCAATGGATTCCCATGTGGTGCCCAAAATTCAAAAAGGAGGCTTCACTGGACCAAATGATTGTCGCTCTCTGACGTTTCTACCCGTGTGTTGATCTATGACTGTTTTGTAGCCTGCTGGTTTTCCCTCTTGCTTTGCATGGGTCCCGAACAGATCCAAAAAGCTAGCCTGAACCCAACCTGCCGAGTAAGGAAAGCCAGCCAGTGGCGCTTTGTCCAAAGCCTTCTCACGGCGCGCATCGCCAACGACCCCTCGGTGATGCGCAACTCGGTGATGCGAAACGCGGCCATCAGCGCGACTGGGGCGAAAGGCGCATGGCAACAGGCAAGGGACCACGTCGGGTGGTGTGTTTTTCTTGGCTCCTCAAAACTGGTCGCTCTTCTGAGAGGTTTCAACAAGTACATTTAAGTTGTATTCAAGGTATCTGGGTTGGTCTCAAGGCAAAGTGGATCCCGCACTGGTTGAGCAATTTCCAGTTGGTGTATCTACAAATTCCCGAGGATTCATTTCAGTTCTGTGCATTCTACCCTTTTCCCCTTTTTGCTGAGTGGCTCTGGCTCCTTTTGGGTTGCTTTAAAGGAGGCCAGGGGTTTCTGGTTTAAACACAAGCCCGCAAATCCTGGCATCTGTTTCTTTGCCCGAGACGGCCGGCCTTTCTGCATCACCGTGTTGGCTGCCCGAGAAATCTCAAAGGTGTGCTTGCATGGTGGTGTTTGAAGCAGGCTCCTGGGAAGCCGGTTGGTCGATTCCCGTTTCAGCCATGCCTTTCGGAAAGCATCATATATCCCCTTCTGAAGAATGAGTCAGTGTGAAGGCCTAAGGCCGCTCTTCCCAGCATGACAGCGGAAAGGCAATGCCCACAGCCTTGGTGAGGCGACTTGCACGAATCCATTTGGTTAAGATTATTGTTCAGGTTTTGAGGGGACTATGGTGATTCAGAGTAACTAGTTTCTCAGTTGCCCAAAGCGGAAAAAAGAAAAACAACTTTTGACCCTTTGGTTTTCCTATGGCTCATGTTTAGCAAAGGTCCCAAAAGATTGACCTTGAACTTCTGGGTCCCTAAAGACTAAACGGCAACTGAGGTCTTGTTTGTGGCACCCGAAGCACACAACAGACCCGCGACAGGCCCGGCAGCTGCTGAAGTCGGACAGTGCCGACATTGTCACCTACAACGCCCTCATCAGCCTCAGCCTCGGGCCTTCGAATCAACCTTCAGCGCTCGTGGATTCTTGTTGTTTCAACCTGTTGGACAAAGATAAAGACCCCCTTAAACCAAAAACGTTTCTCGCCACCTTTGGAAGTGAAGCCCATTCTCAACTATCCAAACCGATTTGAATTTAACCTGGAGCCACTCTGAACCCATTTTCGTCGAAACCAATTGGCACCAACCCTTTTTTCCCGGCCCCCAGAAATGAATCTGTTTTTAGGTTTCCCTGTTGGCTTTTTAGAATCCATTTCACTGCTGGACATATTTCCTGAATTGTCCAGGTGTCTTTTTTGGGTTGGTTTCTTTGTCTTTGGTTTTGGAAGGGAACCGCACAGGAACCCTCAGCAAAACTGGACGTCTCTTGGATTTCACCCCCGCCGCCAAACGGGTCTCAGGCGCGGATATTTCCTGGCAGCTCGCCAGCGCCTGGCTGCACTTGGCTCAGGCCAAAGGTCTCGAGGCGCTGGGCCTCGACCTGAGCGAAGCGACCGGGAATCTCCCGGTTTTTGGGTGGGACCGTTTTTCGAGGTTCTCAAAACTGATAATTGGGGGGTCGTTTTTTTGGTTTCCTTAGGTTCTGAACTTTTGGGGAGTCCTCAAAAAGGGTTCCTTTTTGGTTTACCATCCAAGAAGGGGCCCCCCATTTTCAGACTGGTTAAACCCGGATTTGATGCATGGGTGGCCCGAGTCGTTGGTTTTCCTTTACGCTCAAAAACCGGACTGGTCCATACTTAGTCAAGGTCACGAAGGGTGATCACCTTTTGTTTGTGGGTCCCAAAATTGCAAACCGAGAAGTTGCCCTGGCATTCACAGGGTTTCATCCAATGGAATCTGCCTAAAAAGCTGGTTCTTTTGTTTGCTTAAGGTATGCAACTACAGTGCCAAATATGTATGTGGAGGGAGGGCCGTGGCTGAAGGCATTCGAGGTAGTGTATATTTCCCTGTATGACCTGTTTATTTAAAGTGTTTAAGTTTAAGGTTGTTTCGCGCTGGCCAGGCCCCAGTTAGCTCCGGAGGTAGTATAGAATACCAGTTGACCTCTTGACAAATCTGGGTGTTGTTTTGTGGGGCGTCGTACCTGCTGTTGCTCGTTGTTTAGTTTTAGCGGTTGTTAACTTACTTGTACTTAGGGGAATGGGGTTGAACCTCCCAACCATTTTTTTTGACCAACCTGTGGTTGGGATTTAGGGTTCCCATATTGCCTACCGCGAACCAGTGAGTTAAGGATTATTCAACCCATCCTGCCAATTCAGTCACCAACGAACTGAAGGATTCCCACTAAAAGGGGATACTCCCCTAAAAGGGGATCCCCAAATATTCCGCGGGTTTATTCATCCGGAGTTAACACGATGGCACGATGGGGTATATGTTGGCCCGGTATCAGGCCGATGCCATCACCTACAACGCCACCATCAGTTCCTTGGGCAACAGCTGGCGCCGCGCTTGCGAGTTCTTGCGAGAGCTCGGCATTGGGCGCTTGACAGCCACTTTCCTGAGACCCGAGTCCTTTTTTTTTGGAACCTTTCAGGATATGACCTTTCAACACTACTCACTTTCCGAGTCTATGGACTTTAGCATTTTTTGGAAGTAATGGCAAACAAACAGTTTGGACATTTTCTCTGCCATCCACTCAGGCAGTGAGAGTACCAGACTTGTTTTGTCCTTTTCTTTCACTTGTTGCCTTTTTGGTGTTCCGGCATTGTCAGAAAAGTTGCCTGTTTGCAGCGGAGCCTTTTCCACGTAGTGTGAGTCACTCAAAGCGGCCTGTGCTGGCAACCTGATTTCTGTTTGATTCTTTGGCGATTTCCAGTGGTTAACCCGCATCCCATTCCCGCCTTGTCTTCCACAAGGTGAAACTTGAGCGACAGGCGATAGCCCCTTTCTAAAGGTTAGCCCCAGATATGTTTGTCCAGCCGTGTTCCTTTCTGAAGCCATTATAGGTGCCTGGCATTTGGTGTGACCAGACAATTCCAGGAAAGACTCGGGGTTGGACTTTGATTCACTGCTCCAGTGTACGGACTTTTTATGGAGGGGAGCCAATGCTCGTCCTACACGCAACTAGCCTTTTCTGACTAATCCGCTCCGGAGAGTGCAAGGCCAGATCAACTGCCGCACCGGGCCGAACTCGGAAGCTTTTTCCGACCACCCCTCTCCTTTTGAAGTGAGGGAAAAAGGCCACAAAGCTCTAGCAGCTGTTGCTAGCCAATTTCTGCAGCTCAGGCAGATGTGGTCACTTACAACGCCACCTTGGCCGCTGGGTCGGCGTTTCAGAGTGCTGTGCCCTGAAGGTGATCACCGTGTTTGGCCACACAAAGCCGGTTGGCTGCCTAGACCACAGACATGTTACACTTGTTGATGCACAATGAAGGGTTGACACAGAAGAAGACAAGTGCCATTATCAGTGCCATTTGCGAGAAAGCAAAGGATTCGGAGAACTAACGGGTTGCAACTAGTCCTTCGCAAACCGTTCCTGGCATATCACACATTCACCAGCGAAAACAGACGTGCCCAAAAGCCTTAGGTTTACAATGATGGTGGTTGGTTGGTCGGTTGATGTTTTAATTGGTGTTTTAGTTGGCTGATGTTGGTTGTGTTGTTTTTTTTTGTTAGTTGGTTACTTGGGTTGGCGAGGGGGAAAGCCAAGCTGTGCCAAGGCAGCTGGCGCCGAAGCAGCATGGCAACAGGCCAGCGCCCTCTTGGCGGATCTCACGGCGCGAGGTCTACGCGCAGACGCCTACAGCTCTCTGGCGGTACTGGTTTCGGGCCGGTTTTCGGGTGGCACCGGGCTGCGGAGCACGGAAGGCTTCCCCGAAGGGAGCTTCCGAAGGCACTTTTGGGGATCCATCCGTTTAAGCAAAGGGGGTCCCATGGAAAAGCACAAGGTCTGTTGTCGGTTTCATTGGTTGATTTGATGTTGGGCATTTATTGTGGCAGTTAAGCGGGAACCAACATGCAATGTGTGGGTTGGAATGTGCTGACCTCACGGAGTGCAAACTTCCCGTCTTCCGGTGGCGGAGGTCAGAGCAAGATTCAAGACTTGCAAAGCTTGGCTTGCACCAGCAGGGTTTGGATAGAAGCAATGCAATATAGGGCCACTTGCAGTTTCAGTGATCCATTTATGGGCTGGACGTATGAAACCCGCTTGGCTTTATATAGGGCAGGAAACCATTTTCTGAAAATCCAGCCCCTCGCCTCGGGGCCCTGGTCCTACGCTTAGACCTGTCTTTTGCGACCTCCATCTTGTCTTTTTGTTCATGGAAACAAATCAGGTAGCCCGGAACTGGTGATTTGGATACTTGCCCCAGTTGGGGGTTTGGATAGGTTGGATTTGGAACTGAAGCCCTGGTTCATGCAGAAGGCAAAAGGGGCACCACCCCGAACCTAACCACCAATCCAAACCGATTGGAGGGAAGCAGTAGAAACAGATTCGGAGTCGAGCAAGCGTCCCATCCTATGACCTAAGGCTTCAGCGCGGCTATGACCGCCAGTGACAAAAGCGGCCAGTGGCAACACGCCGAGCGACTCCTCGTGCGCCGCCCGCGGTTGGGGCGCAATGCGGTGCTGGCGAACGGCTGCCTCAGCGCCCAAGAGAAAGGCGCGTTCCAAAGGCCTTGCTTGGCGACCCCATTTTCGCCAAGGTGCCAAAAGCTTCGTCTTTTTGTGTCCAGGGGTCTCTTACACAGCCAGCATATTTCATGTACTCAGCAGTTCAGCCGCCGAATGCGGGGGAAGTGTGCTCCGCGATGCTCTTGTTTTTCGTAACTTTGACCCTTAGAAGTGAGCGGGTTCTCGAAATCCCTTCCAGGATGGCAATTCTCATGACGACGGTTGCTATCATTCTTCAGGTATCCCCAATTTGTGGTTTGGATTTGGACTGAAACCCCTGGTTCTTGTGGGCAAATGGGAAACCATCCCCAACCAATCAAACACCAATGCAAACAATCAATTGGTGGGAAGCTGAACTATTATGCTGTTGACTTCTGTTTTTAAGATTCAGTCAACGCTTTGTGCTGTTCAGCCCTAAGTCTTATGGTTGGGAACCTGCAGGATTCATTTGCTCAAGCGGACATGCGAGCAATTGAAGTGGCCATTTCAATCCACCACAAAGTCGATCAAACTTTGAAGCCAGCTGGATGGAAACAATGAAGGAATTTAGCCACGTCCCTTGCGGTGGTGTTTACTTGGTCTTAAGTGAGTTCCCTGTAAATGTTCGTATGGAAGGTTGCTTGGACTGCTTGATTGGACCTATTTTTTTCTCCGCAAGGAGCACTGGTTTTTGTTCTTTCCAGCTATTGTCTCGATGAGTGGTGTGTTGGCTCCGCTTTTCGCTGCAGGCTCGCAGTGGCGCAGGGTGCAGCTGATGCTTGGCGAGCTGAAAGGCCAGCTTGCAAGAGAAGCCACTCGCCAAGGGGCCTGTGTTTATACCCGACAATCTATGTAGGTCATGTCTACACATTTGACCCATTTGCAGGGTAAATGTGGGTATACATACCTAGATGGATTGTTTGGGATGCAACCGGTTCTACTAAACATGGTCATTTCATGCGCCGAAGGACGATGTGGAATCTGAAAGGGGCTCCACTCGTTAGTTTTTTTGTGTTCTGGGTTGCTAAAGCTGGGCCAGAATCTAAGATTGTAAGATTCAGGAAAACAACAAAAAACAAGCATCCAAGAAGTTAAATTGACTTTGGCGGGCCAAACGCTGCAACTGCTTTGGATAGTGTGGTTTTGGTTGCATGGTTTGATCTTTATCCTTTGGACTGTTTGGCGCACGTTCTCCCCCCACTAGCGAACGAGGCATTCAGAGTCAGGCTAAAGCAGTTTGGTGGAAGCGTGCAACCAGGGGATATGCCTACCTTGTTGCTTTGGTTCGTTCAAGATGGACTTTTTGTTGTTTGGGGAAAACGCAGGGGTGGAGCGGGGGTTGGTTTGTGTTCTGGTGTGGGTGGGATTCTATGAGCTTTAAGGGGAAGAGAAACTGCAAAGAGGTTGCTTGATCAGTTTAGTGGTTTGGACATGTTTAAGCAGGATGTACGAAGATCAACACACAAATCAATAAGCACGTGTTTGTATGCCTGGTGTGTTTGAGTTTGCTGGCTTTGCTTGCTTTCAGTGGGAGCTGTCGTTGTCTGGATCCAGGGTGACATCTCCAGAATTACCCTCTAACTGGGGCCTGAAAAAGGGAAAACCTGGCGAGTTCTTGAGAGCCCTTCATGCTCGAAATGTTTCACTTTACTACTCTCAGGGGAGGAGGGTCGAAACGAAAAGAAGGCACTGGATCCAGGTCAGTTCATCTGCGCATATCAGCGAACCCCCGCCCCCCGCCTTCCCCCCACTGCCCGTCCAGGCGACGGCTGCAGGCTGGAGCTTCTTGGGCTGAACGCGGGCATCAGCGCCTGCCAGAAGTGCTCCAAGTGGCAGCGAGGCGGGGCTCCGGGGCTCTCCGATCGGCACCCCTTGGTATGGCATGTGGGTTGTCTCGGGTGTTTTCCTTGGGCTTCATCCGTCCCACCCGCTGCGAGAGTTCCTCCAGCAGGATGCATGCGAAGAATGAGGGTCCCCTGACAGTAAATCACTTGCCGTTTGCGGGCTCTTGGGCCCCGAGTGCATGGTCTTTTGCCATGCCTCGTGGCACTCTGATTTGAAAGTCCGGCCCTGGAAATTTGCATGAGTTGGATGTCTTTCAACCACTTCTTCGGGGGAGGCCATAGAATCTCAAACCCGTACCCCGCCCCCCCCCCCCCCCCCCAAAAGAAATTAAAAATAAAATAAATATAAAATAAATAAATAAAAGAAGCAACACAAATAAGAAGAAGAAGAAGAGGTTGGTTTCCTCCCAGTGCCTTGAGAAACTGAGTGGGCGCTTGCGAGGTTTGGATCCTTCGCCCTGCAGGGTTGCTGCTTCAGTTGAAATGTCACCAAACGACAAGGATAGAACATTGGGTTGGCTTCCCATGTTTCCCACGCCGAAACCAACTGCTTGATTGAGCTCCAAACGCGCTTCCCAAGTTTGATGACTTTCTACGTGGGAAATTGGAAAGGCTAGACTTGCTTCAGACGGTTTAGGCCAATCAGGACGTGACACTGCTGTTTTCTTTTTTACTAATACGTTATTTGTGTTTGAAGGATTTTGAACTTTAAGCTTGTAAGCTTGTTTTTTGCTTGTGGCCAAGGGATTTCTCCCCTGGCTTCCCTTTCAGATGGCTTGGGTTAGGTGTGAGCTCACGGGTGACAGATGAGATATCCCAGGAAGGTCCTCGATGTGAGGAATTTCATCCAACGGATGTTTCCAACCCCACAGAACCAGCCTGTTTGGGTGCTTTGCAATGAAGCATCTCAGGAATTGGTTGCCCATTTTTCCATTGAACGCTGGAGATTTGGACTACCGGCGACAGGCGCAAGTGGCTGCTCCATTCCAAACTTGTTTGATGTTTGCTGATGTTCGGTAATCCCTTGAAATCCTCGGCAGCCAATTAAGGTTCCAAACGCTTATTCTTTTGCTTCCAGGTCCCTTGCAAAAAATGAAAGAAAGAAACAACCACAAGCACGTTGGTTTTCCCTCGGGGTGCAAGCCCGCAGCCTGCCGGATCAGTGAGCATCCGAGGCCAAGCGCTACTCACGGACTTGGAGGCGGGCACTCGCTTCGAGAGATGCAGGGAATGAGTCCCAGTTGCAGATGAGGACTCCGCCATTTTGCCAACTTTTTCTTAGGAAGGGCTCCCCTTTGACCTCAAGCAACCAAAAAAGGATGACCTTTTTTCCCATGGAAATCCACTGGGCATCTGAGATGAGTTGAATGGAATGACCCCCGGACCAAAAACCATCCCACTGGTCATTTCCTTTATTCGGGACTCCCGAAAGGGTTCATTCCCAACACCCGGATTCGGTCATTCCCTCATCGCAGCAAGCTTGTGTCCTTGGAGTTTTCTACTGCACGACTCCACCCAACAAGCCTCCAACCAGGTGCCTCTTTTCTTGCTGGTCCTCAGAATAAGAAATACAATGACCCCGCGAAAAAGACCAGCCCCGTTTCGGGATTCCCTTCAAGGAAGCCATCTCGGGGATAGTTTTTGTTTGAGTCATTCCATTCAACTCATTCCCTGCATCTCTCGAAGCAGCAAGTTCTGGGTCATCCTTTTGAGCTTGGCTTGCCATGGCCCCAGGATCCCTGGAGTTCCGAAGGTGAGAACTGACGTTCCAGGAAAAGAAAACTTGCCTTGTAAACCGGACAGAGGCAGTATTTTAGCTGCTTGGGATACTTCTCTTCGCCGATTACAAGCTAAATATCTTGATTTGCATCGATTGCGTTGCTCGGATCCATATGCTCCAGGCTTCGGTTCGACTTCTTATGATAAGTGTTAGAAGTCTCCATAATCCTCAATACTCAATATGAGGGCCTTTGACCCCCAGAGACTGGAAATCAACCTTTGGCAAATTGGCCAGGCCTGCAGTTTGGCAGACTTGCTCGGGCATGAAGCTCTGACAAGTCTGTTTTGCAACCAAAGAATGAGCTCTTTTAGCCCTAGGGTGGGCTGTGAGGAGATGATGCACCAAGCAGACCTCGTCAGCTTCAGCTCGGCCATCAGCTCGGAGTCTTCGGCTTGGCGTCAGGCGCAGCACTACATGAAAGAGGCTCACCGGCAGCTTGCTTGCTTGCTGGTGTGTTTGTATCGTTTGTTTGTTTGTGTGTTTGATTGTTTGTTTGCTTGCTTGTTTGCTTGCGTGCTTGCTTGCTGGTGTGGTTGTATGTTTGTTTGTTTGAGTTGTTGATTGTGTGTTTGCTTGCTTGTTTACTCGCGTGCTTGCTTGCTGGTATTTTGTATCGTTTGTTTGTTTGTTTGTGTGTTTGATTGTTTGCTTGCTTGTTTGCTTGCGTGCTTGCTTGCTGGTGTGTTTGTATCGTTTTTGTTGTTTGTGTGTTTGATTGCTTGTTTGTTATGTTTTTTGTTGTTGTTGCTCCAGTCCGTGAAGGACCCCAGACAGAGGCCTCCTCATTGTGGCTATCTGCAACGATGCTGACTTCCCGAGTTCTTGACTTCTTGGGTTTGGGCCATCTTCACGGCAAACGAATAATTTTAGACTTTTAGCCCATACACTCAGGAAGTGAGAAATGGGTGTTTTGTGAAGTTACCCTTTTTTCTCACCCCGTTGTGTTGTGTGTGTGCATTTTGCGAGGTTACCCTTTTTCTCCCCCCGTTTTGAAGGGGACCCAGCATGAAGGGCACCAAAAGGTTCTTGGGTGGGATTTGACACGCTGCCCATTTTGACCCAACCAACAAACATGACAAATTAGTTTTCCCACAAGGCCGGACGCCCCCCCTGTGTTTCTTTTGGTATAGTGTCAACATCACCCTTTTGGTAGCACCACCCAACCCAAAGAAGGTAGCATGTTCGAAGCCGCGGTTCAGAGGCGCCTGTTCCTTTTTCCTGTGGTGGCTTCTCCCTGAAAAATTGTCGACCCCAAGAAACGCTTCCCGCTAGAAGCCCAAGACCTCATTATTTCAGGTCTTTGGTGTCAAGGCCCTCATATTGAGGGTGAAAGGGGCTCATAGGGTCCCTTTATTGCAGTCAACGCGCACGTTGGCCCGGACCTGAAGATGTCCCAAGGTCTTTCTTCGCCGACTGCAAGCCAACCTCATCACCTTCAACGCAGCCCTGGAGGCCGGCCGCGTGATTCTTTGGCTTGAGGGTAGCCTCAGTTGGGTTTCAAGGGAAAACACTTGGAGCAAACATGGAACCTGAAAAAGGGTCTCTGGAGGGCCTTTCCATCTTAGTGGGTGCTTTGCAGGTGTCATGTCTGCTTTTGTTGGAGGGTAAGCGTTTCCTTCCCACCCGAGCGCACGCGCTTACTCTGCACCGTTTTCTGGCAACCTCTTCTCCACTTGGTAACTATGCTCAGGGTTTTGCACAGACAGCCAAACCTCAAGGATAGACGATTGGTTAGTTGTCCTTTTCAGAAGTGAATTGCATGAACCAGTGCTTGACCATTCTGCCAGGGATTTCGGAGCAACTCTAGGTTCAAGTTGTCATCTTTTGTTTCAGGCCTTTGGGCAAATTATTGAACTTTATCCACCAAACCGAGCAGAATCCACTTTTTGTTCCGCGGGTGGCGTTCGGATGGGAGATATCAATAACTCTTGTTTTGCTTATGTTGCACCAACTTTGTGCATGTTAATTCGTTGCTGGCCTGTAAACTTGCTGGACCAAACCAATCGCAACTCATGTTCAGATTTCTGAACACTCTTTGGGACCTTGGCGATGTGAGAGAACTCCAAACTCTTTATGATGGTCAGCGGAGGGGGGGGGGGGTGAGGTCTATTTAACCCCTCGGCCCTTTTTAGTCCCGAAAAACGACCGCCTGAATTGTGGGATAAACATGGGTAATCCACTTCCCAAGTGGTGCGAAGTGGATGTGGTCAATCCACAGTAGGACAAAGGCACTTGAGGGAATGAGGGAATGGAATGACCTCTTCCACCATCCATGGTTTCCTTTTTTCAGGAATCCCATTCCTCCCATGTCCTTAAGAACATGATTCATTTCCCCTGCTGGTTTTAAATCACCTCTGGAAATCTATCACCGATAATTTGTTCGGGAATCTATCTCCACTGGAAATCGCAAAAGCAAATGGAGGCGTCCGGTTCGTTTCCCAACACCCGGACTCGCTCGGTCATGCCCTATCGCGCCGATCGGAAAACCTGCAGGCGTGCCAGAAGGCGGCCCAAGCAGACCAGGCGCTGCAGCTTCTGCAACTCCTAAAGCGCTGCAAGCTGCAGGCGCAGAAAGGGCACTTGCTTCATGGCGCTTGGGGCGCGCGAAAGGCGCCACATGGCGGTTCTTGTGTGTTAGATATGTTGTTTTTCTTTTCTTTTTTTCGCGCTTTGTGTATGGGTGCTGCCTTTGTTTGATTGTTTCTGTGTTGCATTTTTGTTGGCTGTTTTCTTGGCTGGCTGGCCGGCTGGTTGTTCCCGTGTTCCTTTGCGGTTGCTTTGTGTGTGTGTGTGTGCGCGTTACTTGTTGTTCATCGCTGCTTTTTGTTTTGTTTCACTGTTTTACTTCGTTGCGGAGGTTGTGATTGCTTGTGTTTTTGCTTTTCTCTGGATTGCCTTTGTCCATTCAGAAGCCGTTGAGCAATTGCATCACCTGACCCTTGCGACTTTGCCTGCGGAATTTCAGTGTCTGAACTCACAGATTGCTCTAGCCGCTTCCAGGCTGACATCATTTCCTACAGCCTGGTGGTCGCTCTGTTTGCCGACCGCGGCGAGTCGCCACATCTCGCGCTCGAATTCCTGCGCGTCGTTGAACGGACCTGCTGCCAGCAGCTCGAAGACGTGGGTGCTGAGCCGGTGCAAAATTTGCTGACACGACATGAGGCAGTTTAACATCCTTTCAACCTCCATAAAGAATCAAACCATTAATAAAGAATCATACTGAAGGAAAGGGACCTGACAAAGGGGCACGTCCTTTGATGAATGTGGGTTACAGCTTCCTTGTGCGCAGCAACAACTCAGCCCGACATGAGGTTTGAGCATCACCCATCATGAAGGTTCTGCTTGGGAGGGAGTCAAGAAGCTGTAGTAGTATTCCTATAGTATCCAAATTGGCTGGTAAATAGAGAGGGAGAGAGAGAGAGAAGGAGCGATTTATTTGTTTCTTTCCGGTGCAGAAAGTGTGGTAGTTTGCCCCGAATGAGTTTAATGCTGGAAGGGGGGGGTGTACCCGGGTGCTTTCCCACGTCTTTCGGCAATGTGGCAGCGAGTAACATGATATTCGGGCACGAGCCCGGGCCAGTTTTATAACATCCTACATGTCTCATCATGGCTGTCATGAAGGTACTCGAGAGAGAAAGATTTTGTTGCCCACTTCTCGGTGGCTCAAACGCAGGCTGTACCTGGTGTGTGTGTGTGTGCGCGGTGTTTTGCTCGCAAGACATAGTGGTCCAATTCAAGCAAAGATATTGCATTGCATGCTCTATGCGAAAGTTTCTGGAGCCTTGAATGGTTTTTCGCTGGCATGCTCCGCTTTGCGATGCTGAAGCAGCCCTAGACTAAGAAATGCATGTATGGCAGCCCGAAGGTTCACGGAGAGATTGCCCAATGCTTTTGGGGAAACCATCCTTCAAGCTTTGTATGCCACAGCATGGTTGTCGTTAGGAAACATTTTACATTTTTGCTTATTGTGGTTTAGTGGGAAATCCCTCTTAACTGCTAAAATTTAAATTTTGCTCCCCTTCCAACGTCAACCAAGACAGTCCCCCCGACTCCTGCTTTGAATTTAGCTTCCCTCTATCGCGTTTCTTGGTGGCTCCCAGCCATCCCCTCAGCTTTTTGCCTTTTTTAGGGTTTCGTGGTAGTTTCCATATGAAGGCCCACTCAAACGATTCACTTTTAGCAGGGGATCTGATTGTACGGTTTACTTTTCGGGTTTGGAGATCTGAGGGCAGATCCGAGGGCAGCCCAGGCTTTGTTGGATTGGCGGTACTTTTAAGGAGTCGACCCGTTCCTTTTTCGCTTCAGATGCCCGGCTTGATTCGAATGGCCGGCGCAATGGGCGGCGATCGGGCGAAAAGCCATGGACTTGAAGACGCTGGGTAGCGAGTCTATCTCCTGGGTTTGTCTCGTCGTGTTTTTTGGTTTTCCAAGTGAAATCCTCAAAGCTTCCATTTGGTTACGACTATGTTTTAATGTTCCCCTGTTGTTTTGAAGGGAATCTATCACTACTGGAAATATTGGTATTCTTTCCAGGGGGCTTAAGCAAATGGAGGAAAAGAGTAACCGCAAAAGAGTTGACATACCCACCTACCCGCCACCCGTGGGTTGGCCATTAGGAATTTCCTGGAGATGGCTTAGACTTCAACGCCTCCGGCGACGGCCCACACGGCAATATTTGTTTGCAACTTCCTGAGTCATTTGGGAAAGGTCCCCCCAAGACACAAGTGGGCGCCTTTCCATGTCTTTTTACCGTAGTTTTCCAATGTTTTCCCCATGGCGTTCAATGTTTGACCCATGATTTTTCATGTTCCCTTCAAATGTCCCCATGTTTTCCCTGTTTTCCCCAGGTTTTCACAATGGTTGCCCATGTATTCCCCAATGGGCGTTCTCCCCATGTGTTCCCTATGTTTTACGAATGTTTTGCCCATGCTGTCCAATGTTTTCCACCACCGTCCAATGTTCCCATATTTGTCCACTTAAGGGTAACCCAAAAGTCAGCAGTAAATGAGAGGTACAGAAGACCGAGACAAGGCTTACCTGCCATGTTTCCGCTTAGTTTGGCCAGGGTTGCTGCTAAACCGCTGAATGCCCGGATGATCTTTCCCCCCAAGGCCACACTTTTTGAATCCGTCGGCAAAAAGCAAACAGAAAAATAACGCGAGTGACGCAATGTTTGGAGGCCTCCGGGCAGCAAAATATGTTAGGTCATCCTTCGTCTCACTTGCCCAAAGCGAGACCTTTTGGTTTCCCTATTTTTAGTTGCCCCAAAAGGTTAACCTTGTATTTCTGGGTCCTTTGGTCAACTCTGTCGCTGGTGGTTTGGTATAAGTTGAAATCCGCAAACCATCAAACCACTCGGCTCCAAACCTCTTTTAAGCTATATGTGAATGGTCGCCTACCTGGGGGGTTGATTGTACTCACCCCATGGAGATTAATTTTGCCGCTTTGGCAGGTAGTCTCACGACAACACAGGGCTGGGTAGGGTTTTGATTGAGGTTTCAGTGTGGTTTCAGTATCGTTGTGGACACATGTTCTCGAGCCTGCAGGTCAACCCCGAAAGACCCCTCCCAAAGGGGAAGGCCAAATCACGGCTTACCATTTGAAAAGGTCAGACAAATGGTAGGGTCCTTAGTCCTTGGAAGTAGGGGAACGAATTCAGTGCCGAATCTTCACAAACCCTTGTTCTAGAATTGTTAATGGCGAAGCATAAGGGCCTAAAATGGGGCTAGGGTTTCGTTTGGGCCTTTCTTGCGTCCATGCTTTTTCTTTGTGGGGAGGGAGGCAACAACCATGAGACCTTGGACCCCTACAGTCGCTGTTCGAGGACGTGCAGCCGCCAGATCCGGGACTGTGGGCGCGCGGCCCGCTGGCAAGCAGCGCTCAGCTGCCTGGACCAGTTAGGCGGGGTTTTCCTTTAGACAAGCTATATTGGAAGGGAAGTGACATGAAGTGCCACAATATGCTGAGAACGTGCTTTTGGAAAAGTGAGGTAGGTTTTGACCGTGGGGTACGCTTTGTAGCTTCCGTTTTCGATTCCGTTTCGGGTTCGTCGAAAGAATCCACAGCAGCCTCTTCGGCATCGAAAAGAAGCCAGACGCGCGGCGATTTTCCGAGCCCCGAGAAGTGGATGCGTGGGAAACACCCAGTGGGTTTTGTTTTCTCTTTTTTTCACCGTTGTTGGCAGGTGTTTAGGTTTTTGGGTTTTTAGGTTTTGGGGTTTTTGGGTTTTTGGGTTTTTAGGTTTTTGGGTTTTTGGGTTTTTGGGTTTTTGGGTTTTTAGGTTTTTGGGTTTTAGGTTCCTTGGTTCTGCTCATGTTTAGTGAGGCGCTGGAGTCAAAAGCATTTTGTTGTTGCTACAAGACCAAGATTTGCACAGTTTCCTTTCCATACCAAAGGGCGGTTACCCTCTCACCAATTCACATGGAACCTGCGGTTCGGGCCCCGGTCCCTTTAGGAAATGGTGCAAGCCAGAACCCCCCTGAATTCGTCAGGTTCCATGTGAACTGGTGGGAGGGTATTTTTGTTCCTTTACTACCAATTATGTTTGCATATCCCGGGGAGGTTTCCATTTGGCGAGCCCTCCACCAGACGTGCCCTCCACGTCTGGCACCAGACCGCCGCCAGCTGCGCGCGGACCTCATCGCCTGCAGCGCTGCTATCAGCGCCTGCGCCAAGGGCGCGGCCTGGCGCTGCGCCCTGCAGCTGCTGCGGGCGTTGGAGGAGCGGAAGCGGAAGCGAAGCGATCTCTCGGGATACATACATGGGTCAAAATCCAGTACCACCAGTGAACATCCCAATCCCAACTAAAATAGACTAAAATGGGTGGTGCACCTATCCCAAAATGGTACCATTTGTTTTGACTCTTGAACCAAGGCCATACATATATATATATATACACATATATATATATATATACACATATATATATATATACGTGGGACATATGTTCTATATATATACATGGGACATATGTTCTATATATATATATATATACACGTGGTAAACAGAACCATACATACACATGTGTATGACAATGGCATATGTGAATCTGTACATGTATTTATGGAATTCATGTGATGTCAGGGGTGGCCGGCCAGAAAGGGCAAGGGAAAGGAGCCTTATGTTACCCCAGGCCGACTTTCCATTTGGGAGGGGCGTCCCGTTCAAAGCAACCAACAACGAGCCCTTTTTGTCCCATGGCCACTGGAGAGATAAACTGGAAGCGAATCAACTCTGGTGGCGTGCTTTACCCACGCACATGTTCGCACGTGTCCCTTAGGCGAAGCGTGCCAACCTGCATCTTTATATAGGAAAAACAACAGCTTCTGAGGGTTATACATTTGATGATCAGGACGACCGTGTTAATGAGCGGTCGTTACCCGGTTAATACCCACCATGGCGTTTCCTTTCTGTTTTGGAGTGTTCGGGGTTCGTGTGCAGGCGGATGACTGGAATTTGATGAGTTGTTGACCACTTTGCCCCTGGACTATCTAAGCCCGAAGCCACGCCCAAGGAAAGTGAACGTTTTCAACAACCTAACATAGCTGCTAGGGTCCATCCATAGGATATGTATACATGTAATATACATATATATATATATATACATATATGTATATATCAATGTCAATATTGAATAAGTATGCATATCTATTTATCCCATTAGTGATTTGTCAGTAACTGGACACTGCCAAGGAGGACTGCGTGCAAACCGACGCAGTGGTCTATGGCGCTGGCATCAGCGCCTGCGAAAAAGGCGGTGAGTGGCAGCAGGCGCTGAACTTGGTGGCGGAACTGCGCCTCGGAGTCTGGGATGCCAAGAGAGCTAAAACCGATTCCCAACAGCGCCATGTTGGTAATGTTGACCCCGGATTAATAAACCCCAGCTGATTTATAGGGGGGTGTTTCCTTCCAAAAGTGATCACTCCCCACTAAACCCAGGGACACCCCCCTATAAATATGGGGTCAACATGAATGTCAATCCCACATCTCAGTAAAACCCTGGCGATTTTTGATTGCGGACCACTTTTTTGTGGGTGACACTCCGCTACTAGTCGGAAGGGACAATAAAATTCGGGGTTCCCATTAGGTGGTTCTGCTAGCTAAACCTTTATGAACATTTTGGTTGGAGTGAATGGGTTTCGGTCGCTCAGATGGTTTCTATACTACCCAAAGCACTACCGGGACCCACCAGGATCCACGACCGGCCCCTCACACAAGTAGTTGGTCGCCTGCTCAAGTAGCTTCAAAGGGCCCCCTCCACCCAGGCAAGGAAAAAGAGAAGTACCGTCGCAGGGCGAGATCCAACGTTCCAAGCACGGGTTCTTAGATTTTCCAAAACCTTCCCCCCAGTTCTTTGTTATCATCTATTCATCTGACACCTTTCCGTTTTGTTTAAAGCTCGATGCCCTCACCATCTCTGACAGTCTGGTGTCAGATCTTCGGAGCCCTCTGGCACGAAGCTCGAAGCTTTCTCCCTCCCGTCAGATCGATCCCGCCGGGCGAAGGGCACAAGGGCCCAACGAATGGCACACCACATCCAATTTTAGGGAGTCCAGTTGCAGGGAAAACCAATTGGCTGAGAAAAATGCTTTACGGGTCCTGTTTCAATCATGTTCTGTTGGCTCCAGCCGTTCAAACAAAAAGGCAACTGATCATGATTGAAAGCTGGTCGCAAAGATCAGCCAAGAACACACTGGATGGCTAAGTTGGCAATATCTGCATTATTTGTTGCGTTGCCTACTTGTATTTTTCTGTACAGTTCGGTGCGGGCTCAAAACATCTGGCGGCATGCCTGGGTGATGTTCGGATGAGCGGTTCATCCGTTCAAAACAGTTGTTTTTCAGGGCCACCCTAGACCGGATGTTTTCCCTCAAGCCACCGTGCCCAAGGGGGCAAGAAACATAAGCAAGTCACCATTCACCACCATCTAGGGCAACGCGAAGGTGATGCCAGTCGGTACAGGCTGATCAAAGGTCCAACCAAACGGAGTTTGGTTGGCCAAACTCCCACATGTGACAGAATTAATATTCACCATAGCTTATATACCCTTCAATGGTTGTGTACACGTTTTAGATGACCACCCTGCCCTGAGTCATAAAACTGATCCTACCACCCCGCACACTCTTCCTCCAAATGCACCTCCAGTGTTGGTCTACATTTGTCCATTCAACTATATGGCTGTTTCTCAAAATGTTGGCTTCACTTTAAAGAGCCAATGAAAAAGAGTTCCCTCAAAAAAAACACCCAGATAGCACACACCTACACCACCATGCGGCGTCCAGGTCCGCGTCCGCGTCAAAAAGCGGCGGCGGTGACTGAGGCAGCTGCGCCGGCTGCAGGGCAACACCATCGTCTACAACTCCGCCATCAGCGCCTGCGCTAAGTGCAACCAGTGGCAGCAGGCCTTGCGGCTGCTGCAGGAGAGAACTTTTTTTGGCTGCTTTCAGTCCATTGGCGGGGCCTCAGCAATTGGTTTTTGGTGAAAGGTCGACTGAATAATTCACTGCCTGTGTTCCTGGACTTTCTACTTTGTGGGAAGATCAGTTTAGTGGTAAACGAAAAGACAGACTTTTGGTGGCTCTTTTGTTTTTACTGCCCTCGGCGTACCTGTCCTCCAAACAACCGCTTGAAGATGCTCTCGAACAGGCCATCGAGCGCAAACCCCAAACCACTGGAGCCCCCTTAGAATTGATAGAGTAGCCATGGACACGGAACATGTTGGTATCATACACAGGGTGACTGTCCACAATGATGTGTTTGATTGTTGCTTGCTTCCACCCTTTGTGATGTGCCCAAAGCCAAGCGCTTGACATATCCATGAGATTTGTGTTGCCGTTGTTAGAATTTGGCTGGAAGCACAACGCAAGATGAAATGTTGAGCACCTTGGGAGCTGACACAGAAGACTATGTATGTTAAATTCGGCATACATACGTGGGCACATGTATAAGGATATGCTGTTGAGTATTTTGCCATTCATGTCCTCTCCCCTCGGGACTAGCCAGCATCGAGCTTTTGCTAGGTGTCTACTTCATTCCGCATCTGGCCCAAGAAGAAAATTGGCTAGCCGACTAGGCTGGTCACTGCAATTGCCCGGAGTTCTCGACCAAAGTTGAACAGTCTCCATGCCCTACCCATAGGGAAGTACTCGCTTCCCTGATATATAGCAATAGAATTCCCACAAGGCCCAAATTTTTGGAGAGGTAGAACCTTCGCAGTTGGCCAGGACCTATCAGAGCACCTCCGAGCAGACGTCATCAGTTTCAATGTGACATGGCCGAAGCTGATGGCTGACTGGGAAAATTTGTATGGCTATTTGGTGGCATGTTTGAACTTTAGCTTCTTGGTTGAAACAGGTCGGATATTCCGAATTGGACCCGGTGCACCAATAGTTAAACACGTTTAGAGGGATCGGTGCAGCAACCGAGGAGTGATCGCTGAATTCCATGGGTTTCAGTCTTGTTTGTGCTAAGTACTGGAAACCCTTGTGTCTTCTCGTGAGTAACAACCAGTCACGAAGAACCCGAGCCATTGGTTGGGGATGCCTGATGGCTACGCACTAACCACGCCAATTGGCGTGGTTTGAGAGTTGGGCATGTTTCGTAGGTCACGGAACATAGTCTTGTTCAAAGGCAATCCTTAATCCTTACCTTGGGCTATGAGAGGGGTTTCGTTTTGCAGTGGTTGTCCAATCCGGGCTACGGAATAGACTGCTCCATGTTCAACCGCCTAGCTCTGGGCTCATTATTTTGACTGGTTGTGGGGGCAATGGTTGGCCGGTCCCAAGGCAGCCATCGCCGCCTGTGGCAATTCCGGCGACGCCGCCTGCGTCCCGTGGGGCGCGGCGCTGTGGCTGCTGGGGGTGCTGCGAGCGGCATGGCTGGCGCCGGACGTGGTGAGCTACAGCCACCCGAAATCCGTCTTCAGCCATGAGGGCGTGTCTGAAAATAGTGGAGCCTGACCCCACCATGTGTGTGTGTTTGTTTGTTTGCAGTTTGCCTTGAAAGCAACCCAAAAAACGGCACCCTCAGCAAAGGAAGCGGGGGCTGGAAGTTGCACTTATCATGCCGTTCTCCCTGCCACGCCCAAAATGCAAGTGGGATTTCCCCTTGGTTCCGCTGCAAACCGCCCAACTTGGGGTTCCGAGCCTCAACAAAAGACTCCTCTTTCCGCCCCACCGATCAACGGACCTCGGCGGCGGGCCGCGCAGACCGCGTCTCCGAGGCTCCGCTATCAGCGCCTGCGAGAAGGCAGGCGAGTGGCAGATGGGCCTGGCGCTGCTGGACCAGCTGTGCCATGAGGAGCGGGTGGGTGGAGTCGGTGGGTGGGTAGGTGGGTGGGGTGTTCAGGTTTGTTTAGGATGGGTCGAAGTAGAGTTGCGGTGGAGTTAAGATCTATTTGAAGGTGGGTTCAAGATGATGGTTGCGTTGGGCTGATTGGAAGACAGGTGCAAGCTGACTTCTTCCGTGTAACCCTATACAGCCTAATATCAGCCTACATCCTTCAAGAGATTGTGTACATGGACTCCCCTGGCTCACCCTTGCTTTGCCCGACTGCCCAAAAAGTAGTTGCTTGCAGGAGCTTCGGCCATGCGTTCTGTTTGGAATTGGTAACATGAACCTGACTTGGAGGTCCAACCCCAAGGCTGCTCGCGCCCGGCTCCTGGAGAGGGGTAGGCAACCCTTTGGCTTTCTTGCACAAAGAGAGCCATAAATTTGTAGGGTCCTTCTACTTCACCGTGTTTTGTGAGTTCGACATCAGTTAATTTAAAGTGCATTTGTCCCCAAACCATGTGCCTCAAGCTGAGACTCTAGAATTGGATGTTTTCTTTTTGCAGATTCCACGTCAAGCTGGGGCGCTCGCGCTTTGGCGCGTTTCCGCCCAGGAGCTCCGACCCGACGTGGTCCTGTACAACGCCTGCGTCAGCGCCTGCGGCGCGGCATCGGAGTGGCAGAGAGCCCAGGAGTTGCTGCGAGAGCTGCGGCCCGGCCGCGACACGCCGCAGGTTTGAGGGGTTCCATGTTGCACATTGCCTTGTGTTTGTATCGTGTTGGGTTTGTTCCCGTTGCTGTTTTTGTGTTGAACAAAAGCTGAAGAAAGCCCAAGAGGGATAGATGTTTTTCCAGACCCCGTATCTGGCATCCAGATTGTCAGAGTGTCCAATTGCGGGTTCGCTTTGATTTTTGCGCTTGTTTGTATGATGTAAGGGCTTTCAGAGTGCGGCTTGGACAAGCCACAGATTCTACCGCCCGTTTTATTTGTTTGTCGCCAATCCACTTATTGTTTCAAGCCCTTTCAGACAGGAGTGGAAGGTGCAGCCAAGACGCGGGCGTGCACCCGGTGCAGGAAAGCCTTTGACTTGCCAGAGGTTGTTCTTTGGTGTGTGCGTGTCTGTTTGCATAGCCACGATTGATGATGTGGTTTCTGTTTATCTCCATTTGTTTGGTTTCGCTTGTTTGCTTGTTCAAGCCAATCCTTGAATGTGTATATCTCACATGGTTGGCCCAAGCTTGGTTTGGAATCTTACTTGGGTTGTGCAACAGCGGATGGTGGTAGCAGAATTGGAGGGTGCAACATCGTCCCTGCTCGCAATACAATTGGACCAGAGTGTTTCAATTGACCTGGGCGGCTATTGAGGGTTTGGTTGGGAAGACGGCGATGAGGATGAGGATGAGGAGGAGGAGGTGGAGGAGGAGGAGGAGGGTCGTGGTGGTGGTGGTGGTGGTGGTGGTGGTGGTGGTGGTGGTGGTGGTAGTGAGGGTGGTGGTGGTGGTGAGGGTGTGGGTGAGGGTAACGTTCATGATGGGTCTGACGGTGGACTGCGCTGCGTGTGTTGTTGCTGCTACAGTAGAATGTCAACCTAGGGTTAAGCACGTCCGCCAAGTGTCCATTGCCCATTGCGCATTGCATTCTGCAAGCCCTACCATACTGCCTGAGATCTCACTATGTCTGCCTTTCTCCCCAGTTTGATTGACGCGCCATGTGTATGTGCAACATGTACATCCATGAGCAGGGGGCGGGGGTTATGTATGTGTGGGTATGAGTATGCGTGCATGTGCAGCGTGCATACCTGCATGCGTATGCATACAGATGTACGTACATACACTCTTACATGGCCCTGGTTGCATGCTTGCTTACCTACATGCTGTCTAGCACAATAACATGCACATACAATATATGTATATGCAGTATACATACATATATTACGCGTGGCTCGAGCTTTCTATGCATACTATGCGGACCTATGCGCCCATGCATGCATATACATGCACATGATTGCCTGCAAATATGAAGCTGCACGTATGCATAACATATATACACTCATACGTATATGAGTATGTATATACACAATGGTACATTACGTATATATGCATGTGGATTTGTATGTCGAGATCATCACGGGGCCTAGAGAGAAGCGCCAAAAAAAGCGCACGCGAGGCACGCGTCGCCGCTGCGCGCCACGGTGGTGACCTTCAACGCGTTGCTCAGCGCCTACGAGAAGGCGTGCCAGTGGCAAAGGGCGGAGGCCATGCTGGTGACGCTTCTCGTCGCGGCTTGGCTTGGGGGTGGCTTTTGAGAGGTCCCAGGCAGGCTTGAGTAGACTTTCAGGTTGATCCCGGATTAAACCCACCCCAGTTTATTACTAACTGTAGTATTTCACACCGGGTTGTTATATAATTTGGGCCCTTCCAAAAGTGATGAATCCCCACTCAATCCAGGGACACCCCCTATTACTACACAGGGGTTGATGAATAGGGGGTCAACATGACTTCCCAAGTTTCTGGACCTGAGTCACTTTTTGGGCTTAGACCACTCCAATGGCCAAAAAAACTCGCGAAGAGACTTCGATTCGACCTTTTGACCTTTTGGGTCCGCTTTGTGGTCCAGCGTTGTAAAGGCCCCCAAGATTTAACCTTTATTTTCCGGGTCCTTTGGGCAACTGAGTCAATTGGTTGGGTGTGGGTCGCTTGGCGGTTTAGTGGGATCACCGGGCAATTGGGGTGGGTTGAAGGGTAGGGCAACTAGTGGCTTCTTTTGCTGCGTACTGTAGCAATGGTCAATGGTAACTTGAAACGCTGGGCATTGATTGGAAGTGGAAGTGCTTATGCATGGAATGGGGTGTCTCTCTTTTCTGGAGACCAAATCAAATTGTGGTTTCCCTTTAAAGCCATCAAAGAAGGGTTACCTTCAAAAGATAGACCCAAGATAGGAATCTTGAAACGATGTGTGTTTCTTACATGGTGCTGTTGACTGAAGCCTAGGCATTTCTAGGGCGCGGTGCCGGCCAGCTTTTGATTTGCTTCCCTAGCGCAGGTCCAAGGCCAGATTGTTGACGTCTCGTGTGTGTCGATGTGTATATTTGCCAGTTGCCTGACCCTCCTACCAATCAACACGGAACCTGACAGGGGGCCCCTTGAAACGGAAAATGAGTCTTTAGGCACCCCCGGTCAGGCTGCATGTTAATTGGTGGGGGGGTAAATGGTCTAAGCTCCCTTTTTGGTTCCAAGCCCTTTGCCACGAACGTCACATCGGGCAAGCGAGTGAGCGAGCTGGTTGCCCTTGGTGGGCTCGCTCGGCAGCCCTTTTGCCGGTTGGACATACGTTAGTTGAAAGACAGCCAGCCTGTTTGGCATGGTTCCTTCATGGTTGCGGGTAGGGAGAAAGAACAGCATGGCATGCTTCTTTCTTGGTGACTTTCTGGCCTCTCCTTCCTTCTTTAGAGTGTTCATTGACCAAGCGTTTATCCTCAACAAGGGTCTCTGAGCTTGCCTTCTCAACGCACAGCTCAGGCAGACGTAACATCTTACAACTCTGTGGTGAGCTCTTATGAGAAGGCCGGAGAATGGCAGCGGGCGTTGCCACTTGTCCAGACATTGAGTTCCGCTTGCGTTTTGCGGGTCGGGCATGTTGTGGTATGGAGCTCGCCGACTAATACTAACGGCTGGGTGTGCACGCCCATTTGCAAACCCATGGCGATGCCAATGCCTACTTGAACTTTTGGTTGAGCATTCCTGCCAGACGGTGCCATCGGCATCGCGTGACGCAGAAACATAAATGCCCATGCTGCCTAACATATCCCTCTTTCCTCCGGGTTTGAAGATGAGACAAAGCCTTTGGCGCGGGTTCTGGTGAGGCGTCCGGCCCTGGATGCTTTTTGGAAGGGAGTGTTCAACCAAATGGTCACCCAGCCAGTACCCCTTTTCAAGGGAAAGTCTAAAGAGGTTGCCTGACGTGGCTAGTACCTAAGCAGCGGTGTGCCCTTTGCATCCATCCAGCACATGCTGCTTCATTGCTTGCCAAGGCTGAAGTGGAGAGAGCTAAAGGAAGGCTAGAAGGCGAGGTGTAAATTTATTTTGGGTATGGATCAAATTTAACCCACCAGGGATTGGACCGCAGGTTGAACCGTCCTTGGTTCCATTTAGCAGGCTTGCCATTTTGGCTATGTTGACCCACAGCCTCACATTTTCCACATACCAAAGCTCATTCCCCACTTTGCCCCTCCCCCACTTTCTTGACTTGGCTTCCATCTCTGGGCCTTCGGGGGTTGGTAGATCTGACCTAGTCCACTATCCAAGTGGGTGTGGGTCCAAATTAAGCCACCAAGGGACCACAGGTTGTAGTCCTTGGTTCCATTTACCAGGGTTCCATTTTGGGTACCCATTTTTGACCCGCAGCCAAGTGACTGGTTCTTACGGGGTCAGCCGGACAAAGTACTCTCTCCAAATCGGCATGGCACAAGATTGCCTTTGCGTCCCCTCAGTGGAAAGCCACGTCCCATCTCAAAGTGAAGCGACCCCGTGTTGTTTGCTTCAGGTGTTCGAACACATCACACGTTCGCATTTTCCGGGCTTGGTCAGACCAGGCCCAAGGATGCAAACGCGGTTTTGAAGGGCTTGTGCCAGTCTATTTGGAGCCCCAACATTCAAACTTAGCTTTGGTGACGGGTCCGGCTCAGCGGAGACATGAAGACCCACCCATCGCCCTTTTTAACACCCCTGAAGATCTCCATGAGGGACCCCAACCCCCCTCTCCCGGTAGGGGGGATATGGGGTGTTTTGGAGTGCGCGAGGGGTTGTCGGGTGCCAGATGCCCATCCGCCCAAAGAAGCGTAGAGACCCTCTTGGAGGTTATGACAACATCCACAAGCCAAGGCAATTGCTGCACACCATGAAGGCTTTTGCTACCCCGGATGTAGCATCTTGGCAGGTCTTTGTTTTGTTTTGGTTGTACTTTCACTTGTTCAACCTTTGTAGTTTGTTGACGGGCTTTCTGTAGGGTTGGTGTTGTGTTTAGGATTGTTTTTAGGTGTTGTGTGTTCGTTAGTTTGATTGTGTTGCGGGAAAGTGATTAAAAGCTACAACAAGTTACCAGCCCACCACCAGAAGCGGCGCGGGTGCACAGAGTCTGTTTGCAAGGAAACATAGTTTTCCAAGCAGGCTCCGTGGCCCACATCGTTGTTGTTGACCCTGTGCCACAAAATTGCTGTCCCCTGCTCAATTTAAGCATGCAACAATATCCTTGCCAACACTTCGCTGCTCTTTGAGGAATTTTCCAGGTAACATTTCCTCTGACTCACCGCTTGCCTTTGGGTGTTTTCCGCCCTTGGGTGTTCGTCTGTTTGACTTGTCCTGTGGAGTTCTCGTGGTAATTTGTTGACTCCGGATCTAAAGAGTGTCCGAAGGCGGTTGTTGCCTACAACAGTAGTCGGACTCCAACCACTAAAGGGAATACCGGGTGTCCCTTTGTGGAACATTTGCCGAAAAGGCTTTGGCCTGAGTTGGACCGCCAGGTTTAGCTGGGCTGTTCAATTTTTAATCCTGCGTCACATCAACAAATCCGTCTGGTGGGGTCAAAATAATAAATTGGCAAAGCATTCATTTTGAACGGCTCAAAACAAGCACGGAGCAACACTTTTTTGGGAGGTATGCCAAGCAAAGCTTCACACCTACCTAAAACATGTTAACCGGGGGCAAAGCCAATCACGAGCATCTAAGGGAGGTTTTGCCGTGGCAACCTGTGATGGTTGATTAGTTGGGTCCCCTCCTTATAGTGATCCATGTTTGGCTGAGCGGAATTATCAAGGTGCCCTTCACCTGGGACTTGATTTTGCGACAACGCAAATCCAGAGCAGGTCACTGACTGAATGTAGGCCCATGGTCAAGGCGCTTTCAAGGTATGGGTTTGGGAGGTATGGGGGTGGCATATTTCCTTACCAGCTTATATTGGTCATCCATGCTTCCAAACCCCATACCTGGATGTGCCCTTCACCTTTGAAGGTATCTTACAGCTCCGCCATCAGCGCCTGCGAGAAGCGATCCGAGTGGCAAAAAGCCTTGGCCCTGCTGGCGGAGGCTTTAGAGCGGCGTGTGGAAGCGGACGTGATTTTGTACAGCCCCTTGCCATCAGATGGCTTTTTCCATTTGCTGAAATGAATCCTGTTCTGTGACCCGGCTAAGTTTCAACTATAGTTGTGCTGGTCCTTGAGGGACATAGATTGTCATTTCCTGAAATCAATATGTTTTTGTATTACAATTGCCCTGGATTCAAAGGGGATGTGTCACTACTGGACATGCTCTCATTTTCCCAGCGGACATTTGCGAGGGCAAACGGGCAGCCGAGCTAAGCGAGCTTACGCGAACCTTACGCGTCTGCTTACGCAAGCTTACGCGCCCGAGCCCCTTTAGTTTTCCAAAATCAGCGGTTTCAGACGCCTTTGTTTGTCCTATAGTAAAGGTTGCAACAGCACCTAGAATGAGCCCCAAGAGCTCCCACTCAAAGTTCTGCTGGTTTTGTTTTCGATTGGTGCGTGCATGCGGTCTTAGACGTCTTCCTGCAGCCAAAGTGTCCGGGCAAGTTGCTAAGCTCGACTAGGTTGCAACAGCACCAGCCACCAATAAACACACAAGCACATGTGTGAAACAACTCTTCCAAGCATGCTTACAAAGCTTACCAAGCAATCACGAAGAACAGCTTAGGCAAGTGCTGGCTTACGTCGTGCAGGGTTTTGCTTATGCGGGACCCGTTTCTTGACTTGCAGTAAGAACATAACGCCAAGCCGCTGAAACTCGATAAGGGTAATTAGTTCTTCATCATCTTCTTCCTCAGAGTGTATCATCTTGAACAGTTCTGGCGGCTGCATGAGAAAAGGAGCGGGCGTAAGCAATTCAGGCGTTGTTCCGCCCAAACTGGGGCGGTGTCCGACCAAAACCCAAACTCCTTGGCGAGGCTCCAGCATCAGCGCCTGCGAAAAGCGGAAAGAGGCCGGGCAGGCGGTGCTTCTGCTGCGGGAGGCGCAGCGACTCGCCGAAAAATTCCCTGGGGTTGGCCGGGACCCTCCGTCACCAACATAGCCATGGGTTGCATAACCTATGGCGATCCCATTTTGGGGTGGATGAACATCCACTTGCCACCTATTGTGATGTTCACCAGGGGTACAGGGTTTTTATCCACAACCACATGGAACCGGACGTTCAGGACCCGGCCCCTGTAAAAAGGAAGAATGTCTAGACCAGGATTCCATGATTAGAAGAGAGTAGATGTCCTTCCATTCGCTGAAATGAATAATATGTTTCCAGGGGCTCCGATTGTTGTTTTCTGGTCGGGGAACATCACCCTTTGGGGCCATTCAAACTTCCGTTTACTGAAATGAATGTGTTGCTTAATTTCCAACCTGCTGGTTTTAAAGGGAATCACTTTTACTGCTGGCTTACGGTCTTATTTTTGCCAGGGTTGAGGTTCACTAAATGTGGACCGGAACTAAAAAATATCATGGAGGGAAAAAGGAATACATATATATATATATATAGATATACACACATGTAGCCCTTTGCCAAGGTTTATCCCAGGATACGCAAGTTTCCTCTGAGGTTGTGGTTTCGGGGGAAGGGGGTACTGGAAACGGGCAAATTGTTCTGCTTCACCGGTTATGACGCCTCGGAACGTGACCCTCGCTGAAATTTGCCCAGCTTCATAGTCCTGAATGGTCATAGTTCACTGGGGAATAGTTGAACAAGTTTATGACAGCGGGCGTGCATCCTGTTAAATGGGTCTGTCCTTTTTAGCTTTTAGGGTTGGTTTTAGAGGGGAACCAAAAGGAAAAGCACGATTTAGGGAGTTTTCCTGTAAAGGATCATCCCCAACTATCTGTCTCAGCCTTGTTGGTGTCCCTTGAAAACAACCCCCCAAAGCTTTGCGTAAAAAAATACGGGGACCCCAAAAATGGTGCCCCTTAAAACAAACACACACACACACAAGGCCGGGGAGGACCCCAAACAATCAGCCCCAACCCCATTCCACAAGGAGAAGCCGCCTAGAGCCGGACATCACCAGCTACAACGCCGCCATCAGCGCCTGTCAGAACCCTGGAGACTGGCTGAGAGCGCATGGGCTCCTGCAGGCAGGACTGACGGATTGTCAGGCTTTTCATGGTTGTCAGGGGCCCCCCAAAGAGGGGACCACCAGAAAAGGAACCCTATGAGTCCACAATGGGCCTTAGTCGCCATTGGCCCCTATTGGCCCTATTGGGGTTGACAAGCATAGGATTCCATGTGCGTTTGTGCACTGACTTGTCTTGCTGGTCCGATAGGTAGAGAATGTGAACTGGAATGGAAACCAAGCTTGTCCCCTTAAAGGAAACCACTAGTGGGATGGTTTATTCGGGTCATTCCCTGATTGCCTGCCTATCGCACCAGCAATGTCCAAACCGATGTCGCTTCATTTTTAGAGGCTAAGGGTTGTTTTATTTTTACCTGCCCTTGTACGTGAGTGGACGGTCTTGCTGTTGCTGGGCACTTTTGGTACCAGGGCGGCCTTGGGTTTGCTTTGCAGAAAAAACTGACGGGAAACGAATTCGACTTCTGAGCAAAGCAGCCATATTTGAACATCACGGGGGGCTGTGGGGGATTGCTTGTTTCCAGGATTCTTCAAGGATCGACGTCAACCTGACTTGCGGAATATTTGTTAGTTCCGTGATGTTGTATTGTTAGTGTGCATCACCTTACATGTTTCTTTTTGGCGGAGGGGGTCAGGAAATTAGACCAGACACCCGTCGGCGGTGGAATACGAAGAGGGGGGCATAAAGTCCAAGAAGCCCAATTGCATGAAAAGTCAAGTCGTTCATGTATGCCTTCCTTCCCTGGGGAGAATGTTTTTAGGGAAGCAATAAAGCCCGGCCCTAGTGGCTTCCTGGTGGCAAACAAATGCCACATAGTGCTAATTAACAATTCAATCAATCTACTGGTTGCCTTTTGGACAAATATTATCTACATAAGCATGCACATGTGTATATATATATATATAAATATGATCTATATAATTATGTGGTTGATTTTGAGAGCCCATAGCCTGAAAGGCCCCATCAAGCTCGCATGCTTTGGGAGGGCAGAAATTCGTTTAAGGTACCTGCAAGCAAACAAGGCTTTTGAGGAGGGGGTGCTGGGTGATCGACTTGGTCCCGCTGCCAGCTGATGGTGAAATGGCCGAGAGCTCCAGCGCAACCCCTTGAACCTGCCAGGGATGGCTTTTGTAGAGGGTCATACGGGTGTGTCTGAACATAGCCCCTTTTGGATGGTGGTTTCAAGGCAACCAACAACAAGCCAAGCAGTTTTGGGGGGTCCGATTCGCATATTGAGACAGCCAAGTCGCTGGCCCCCAGACCGTTTCCACGGTACAGGAGCTCACAGCGCGTAACGTGGTGACTGTTGGTGCGGCCATCTACGCCTTTGGGAAGAGCTGGAAATGGCACAAGGCGAGGGGCCCAGGGCGGGTTTTCCGTTGCCCTGGCTGGGGGGGCTTAGGGGCTTGGCTCGGCTCAAAGCTGATTACTCAGAGAATTGCGCCAGACCACTTACTGTAAGTCCGGATGAGCCTTTTTCAGGTCTTACAAGGGTCTTGGTTGGGGGTTGGTAGGGTCCCTAATCGGGGGATGACAACGTAACCACATGTCGGGAGCATGCACAGACCCGCCCGAATCATTCGAAATGGTGCGGAGGTCCACCCTTCTGTGCTGAGATTCTGTGAGCGTTAGGTGTTGGCGACGTACCATTGCTATGTTGATTTCAGCCCGGGGCTGGGGAGACGTTTTTCAGAAGTTCAGGAAGCAAAAAGGGAGGCTTGACTTCCAGTAGTTCTTTACTTGGTTTTGTCGCAACTTGGAGTAGGACCAGATTCGCTGCTTTAGGTGTTTGAATGTGCGCAGAATTTGCACAGACGGGCGGTCAGGGCTTGTAAAATGAACCAACCAACAGCTTTCTTTTTCCCCCGAAGGCCAGTGGGTTTCCCGTTTTCCTCTCCAACAAAAACGGGGCGCCCCAGGCCGTGCGGTTGCTGGCCGAGATGGAAGAGCACCAGGCAAACCACTCGCTCGCTAACGCTGGGAGGTGAAGCGGAAAAAAAAAGGCACAACTTTCAAACAACCAACACAACAGCATACCCTTTCATTTGCTTAAGATATTTTTTTGATTTTCCCCTGTTGGTTTTAAAGGGAATCTATGACGAGTGAAAAATATGTGTTTTCCAGAAAGCAAATGGAAGTACCCTTTCCAACCATCATGGCGGTGGACGATCGGTGGCTTCCCCAAAAGGACAGAGTCTTCTGAAACCTTCTGCCGGCTTCCGTGATTGTTCGAGAGAGGGACCCTGCGAATGGATAGCAATTCGACTTTGTATGTGATGCCCGCTTTATAATCATAGTGACCGGTTCTTGAGGCGATTTAGCCCAGACGCCCAGTGGCGCATTTCCTTTCAACCTTTCTGTTGCAGGGGAGGTTCCCGTCAAAGTCAGCTACAAAGAACAAGTCCCCAATTTTTGGGTTGGTGTTTCCATTTTTGGTTTTGAGTTTGGGGTTTGTTGGATTTTGTTTCCCAAATGTTTTTGGCTCGCGCTTTTGTCTAAAGGGCAACGGACCTGACGCTTTCTACGCGTGAATCTTGTTTTTGTGCCTTCAGCGGGTCGGGACCTGAAACTCGCTTGACGGGGTGAAGGGCAAGTGAGATGCAAGCTAGTGAGTAGGTTATGATTTTCTGAACATATTGGGACCTCCCTTTTCATAGTTGGTTTGCTTGGAAATCCATTTTCCAACCGGCCTCAGCAGAATTCGCTGTTTGAGAAATTCACGTTCACCAACGGTCTTTTGATGTATGACTACACCAGAAATCCCCAACTCATGTATGGAAGGGAAGTAGGGCTTGGGTGCTGCGCGATTTGTTTCCCCTAGTTGCTCCTGATTTTCCATTTGCTTCACAATATGTGTTATTTTCAACCCTTATTTTCTTTGGCTCAGGGAATGTATCACTGGACATGCGTTCTCATGGAAACCGAAGGGGCGTTGTCGACCGGAGGGCGGATTGGCCTTCCGCAGGTAGAGGCCAACCTGGTGGTGGCCAACGGGAGCCTCCAGGCCTTATTCGCTGCGAGCGGAGTTGCGAGATGTTTTGGTGGTTCAGATTCTATTCGCTGGCGGATTTGCAGGTTTCGGTTGTTGAGTTAGGATTCCCAGAAAGTCGGCTTTCCTCACACCACTTGAGGCACTTTTGGGGCAAATTTGGAGTGGCGAGCGCACAGTTCCCCGATGTTTTCGGGCCAATCCGCGGAAGTGAGTATGCTTTTTACTAGGTGTAGAGGTGCCTAAGGCTGTATCCACCCTTAGCCAAGCAAGTAGGTGTTTTGTCCATGGCGCAAATGGCCACACTGTGGACGACATCCACGCCAGACACCAGTTGAGCAGCGCGCCATAAACCCTGACAATACAAAGTAGTAAAGGGGGTGTCCTATAGAATCCCCGCGAAAGCCAAAACGCAGGCCGCGAAAGCTTGCGAAAGCTTATCGCGAAAGGGTCCGCGAAAGCAAGTTTATAGGACCGCTTTTTACACAAGAGTATTTGGCACGGCTCAGTTGGGATGGATGAAGCCAAGTGACTGGGACAAGCCACCAACCGACTGCGCGAGGTTTTGTCTATCCGCAAATGTAGAGTTTACCCAACACCAACCAAGAATGGACCAAACTTAAAAAGAAGCCGTTTGTTTCGCTATGACCAACCTGGTTTCTTCTTTCACTCAAATTTGGAATCCAGCTCGGTGGATTCCGAGCGCCTTCAATCCCTTTCCTTCCCTCTCGGGTCACTGAGTGCAGGCTCTAAGAAACCGTCAGGCAGTCCCAATAGCACGGCAGCAAGAAGGTTCGCACACTGCTTTTTTGAAGTGTTATTCGTCCGGCCCATTTCCCACCCATTCCCCCCCCTTTTCTAAGCATATGGTGTTTTTCAACCTCGCACCATTTGGTTCCTGGCAACTTGCTACGCCCTGAAAATCTGGCGGGTTCCCTGCTAACAGACATTTGCAACAGACGGTCATAGAGAGAATCTAACAGTTAGCTGAATGGTCAGATTTGATCTCTCACCCCCAGTTCACACCCCTGTACACCCTTGCTGGGGTTACTAGCCATGTTGCTACCTCCTGGGCCATCTAAGTAGGTGGCTCTCGAAAGGTTAGCCCCGCACCCTCCCGTTTTGGCGAGCACCCCGAGATCTATGTAGAAGTCTCCCGGTTAGCCACGGTTGGGTGCCCGGCATAGAAGGGTGGACAAAGGGCCGGAAGGCTACTGAGGGTGAGGGTTTCTGAGAGGGTTCCTTGGGGTTTTTGAGGGGTTCGCCTGCCTGAAGGTGCGGGTTGCTCCGTAGGGTTCCTGGGACCTGGTTGGCTTTCGGAGGGCTGATGCTTTGCTCCCCTCCCATGTTTCGAAGAAACGGCAACCGGGACCCTTAGTAATTACCCAAACAGGCGTCCCCTGGCTCCCCACTCATACCACTTGACTAGATTAGCGCACTGGAATGAACAACTTGATTAAAAAACCGTATTTTCAGTGAAGCCTCATCTTTGGGACCGTTGATTCATCCAAAAAGTCCTTTGGCTAGGGTTTGGTTTGTAAGGTCCCAGGCTTAAGATCTCGCTTCCCGAGTCTCGGCATCACTTGTTTGGACCACTCCAGCGCAGGAGAAAACACTGCTTTTGACCCACCCTGAAGCGAATCGACCCTTTCCCCGTCCATGTTTAGTAGAAAGCTTCCCAAAGCTTCGCCTTCAAAAGCCCGGGTCAAGGCGCTGAGTTGTGGCAGGCGCTCGCCTGGGCCAAAGCTTGGCGCCACAGCTCCGCGCTGCTCAGCTCCAGCGCCGAACCCCGCCGCGGCCTCGGAGACCCGGCTGGCGCCAGTCTGCGAATCGAAAAGCGCTCCTTGCAGCCAGTGGCGCGTGTCGTTTCAGGGATGAATTGTTTTCCTCACACGTCAGATGGGCCTCGGATGTGGCTTTCTTTAGGCTCAAACAATTCCGCTTGACAGCTAAGATGCAGTCAGTCTGGCAAGCTAACCCGGTCCGATTTGACAGGCACTGTCAGAATTGGAGTTTGTGTGTGGCCACGCCACATGTCAGATACACGCTGGTCTGGGGGTGGGGCGAGTTTGTTTGGTTGTTGCACAATGAGGGCTAAGCGCGGCTAAACGAGCTTGTAGCAGTAGGCTGGATGCAGAATAGGACAGTTGCGTGGCATGCCAGAGATGCCGCAGAGTTTTCAGTTGACGCTTGCAAGTTTGATTCGGCTGTTGACATCATGCGAAGCTAAAGCAGCTTGTTCAGCGGCAGGCAAGATGCAAGAATGAAACTTTGGCATGGGCATGCCGCAGCCGTTGCAGACGTACGGCATTGTGTGACGATGGTGAGTTGATGTTAAAACTGACGACAAAACCACGACATGGAAGACAATGGCGACGCGAATCTGATTGCAAAAAAGACAAAGCTAGTTGTTTAATTAGTTACTTGTGCTTTTGTCTTTGTTTGGGAGGGGGTGCCTTGAAGTTGCTTCTATGGGAAGCCAGGTTCGGAACCGCAGCCATTTGTTGGGGCCCACCATTTTGACTACCCAGATTCCCTCTGGATGAATCCCCTGCGAGAGGTCTTTGGGCAAAGTCAGGGCCGCCTTTGCCTACGGGTCAATTATTTGGTGGGGGGGGTTGCCCCGATTGAAATCTGATGTCATGAAGGAAACTTGTTTGAGGTGGGTTTCGCACCGGCATGGTTTTAGGGGGTTCGCAGAAGGAAGCGTTGGGATGGTTGCTTTCCGTTCCGTTTTGTAAGCCCCCAAGCGGATGGATTTGCACCCTGAAGCTCTGAAAATTCCTCTTGTAGGGTTGCCAAAGCTAGAGACCTGTGGCATCCCTTCGAAAAAATGGATCACACTTTTGAACTTTTGACCACCCCCCTTCTGGTTTTTCCATCCGGGGCCTACCCAGGCAACGCGTTGACCTACGCCTTTGCCATGGATGCCTTTGAGGGTTCCGCCGCAGCTTTGCAGGCAGTGTGCTGTTTGCACGACCTCGGAAGCTGCGATTTGAAGCCGGAAAAGGAGCGCGCACCTGGCGGTTCCAGCCATCAATTGGACATCGACCTTGTGCTTTTTACAGCTGCTATGTTCCGCCCGCGGCCCATGTTGATTGGAGACCTACTTGGAAGCCGACTATTTGAGCCAACCCGGCAGAAGGAGCCTTGTTCGACAGTCTCAGAAGGCCCGCTTTGAAATATGAACCATGGTGGTTGCAGCATTCCCCATGCAGATCATGTCCACCAAAAGGGTCTGCACATCTCATCACCTAAATGTTACTCCTATATGCTGTTCTGCGGGATGAATCAAAGATCACCGTTTGGTCGCTGGGTGCCTGTCCTCTTTGCCGTTGCAAGTGGTGGGACCTTTGGCAAAAGTCCTGGGTCGAGGACCTGTGGACAAAGTCCCCTACGCTCGCAAGCTTCGCCTTGAGGCCACGCGCTCGAGTCTTGGGATATTCGGCTTATTTTCTCATCAACCCTGGTGTCAGGGTTGGGCAACATGAGTTTGACTCACTCCGTGAGCTCATGAATCCCAACACTTGTTGGGAAGACCATTGTAGTGCAAACAGAAAGTTTGGTTACTTTTGTTTGGCCATCCACTCGAGCGGAAGTGAGTGGTGCAACACGTAAAACCCCGGGAAAGCCAAAGGAACCTCTTCCAACAGCAGGTTATTGAGCAACCAAAGCGGCATAGCCCCCGGGCGAAGCCCTTTGGATGGTTTTCAGATGGGCTGCTCGGCCGTGGGCTCCGTGCCGCGAAGGGCGGATGTGAAGGCGCGTGTGTGACACTCGCTTCGGTTTCTTTTTTGGTTCTTCGGGTTTCGCGGGTGGCGATTCGCCCATGAAGGTCACTTACCTGGGAAGTCCTTACCTACTGTTCCGGTTCGTGAGTTGCAGCTGGCTGTCCTTTTGGATCAGTTTGGTTGAGAGTAGATGGCCCTGGCTCCAATTTTGGGATGATGGGAAACCAAAGGTGGGGGCCAACTGTTTTGGGGTCTCCTATTTGAAGACACACCCATGTTAGTGATCCATGCTTTTGTCTCCATGCTACTGTCCAGCTTCTCGTTGTTGATTAAACGGTTCCAGTTGGCTTTCACTTCGCGATCCTGACACGTAACCCTGTCTAGTCAAGGCTTCAAAAGGCTGTCCTTTGTTTAGATCCTTGTATCCGGATATCCTCCAAAAGACGCCCTCGCAAAATTAACTGCCCAGCTTGGTTTCGCCTATGCCTGCCTTAGGGGTTGTGGAGCACTGGCGGGGAATGAGAGCGGTGGAAGGGCGTGGGTGGAATCCCATGACCTGTTCCACGAAAAGCCCCCGCAGGTGCTTGCCAGACAAATCCGGGTGTTTTGCGTGGTGACATCGAGGTGATGCAGTTTGGTCACATGCTTGACTCTGGATTGTCTTGAGGTGTGCTTCGAATCAGGGTGGAGTGCACAAGTTTCGAACGGAATGCATGTGTCACGGTTAAGTTACTAACGTGGTTTGAGACAAGCTTGAATGCCTAAGTTTTACTATGCTCCGACTCAGACCCCGAATCTATCGGATCTCAAACTGGGATTTTGCTTGGCCAGCTCCAGGCGGTTGACATTTCTCGACTCGTTGGCCATAAAGTGAGTGAGGCTCCACTTGTTTGTTTTTTGAACCCAGGGTCATGGAAACGACCGACTGGCCAGATGTCACCTCGCTTGTGCATTACATGCTACGAAATCAACCAACCATCATCAATTGGTCTCTTGCTTGTTGGGCTCATCCTCAAATGCAACTGCTAACGGCCGCGCATGACATCTGAAACCAGAACCTCATGGTTGGCAATAGGTTTGTTTCTTGTTTCTTTGCACTTCCCTTAGACCTGTTCGAGATGACTGTCAGGTGTGTTCAAATAACGAGCGCCGCATGTGTGTAAATGCGTGGTGCCCGTCGAGTTCCTATGTTAACCATGCTAGGCCACCCTTGCGTTGGTATGGCTCAAGGATGTGACTTTGAAAGACTTCCTCGCACGCTGCGGGTTCGCGCCTGCACCAGTGCCCGAACTTGTGCTGATGCCTCGTCATGAAATTCCACATGCAGAAACATGCCTGGACCCTGCCTAGGAGGCCCCAAGTGCTCTGGGATGGGCCCGGAGGATGCTTTTAATCCAAATCCAGTCTGCAAGTTTTGCTTGCTCAGCGCCTTGGTTTGACCACTTGACAGGGCCTTTGCATGTGGCAAAGAGTGGCTTGAATCAACCGGCGAGCCAGCTTGTTTCGCCCGACGTGTTCTGCTTACTTGAACTTGTTGAACAGCAGTCTTTGGGTTTGCCTGTCTACCCGTCTTCCAAGCCGGCGATAATGTTGCAGCAGGGTTTGCTCGCGGCTGTGCAGCGCTGCACGCTTCATTTGAGACAGGAAGCTCCATTGGATGCTAGGATATCAACTAAAACATGTTGCGGCTTGCTTTGTCACGCAGTGTGGCGGACATTGGCTTGGCTAGTAGCATTCTTTGCGAATGCGCTGCGTACATCGCTGAGGCCAGTACACGCAAATCACTGTATCCTGGCACATCCGGGCTGAGCGGGGCCCCGCGAGGATCGCGGAAAGCATGGAACGCGCAGCTTGCTGCGAGCTACCCTCAGCTGGCCCATTGCACCGACTCTGGCCGATGGCAAAAGTCAATCTGAGCCTTGCGAGCAGGCGATTCAGGCTTGAAAGCCGGCCGGGAGCGCAGGCTATTGCGGGCGTTTTGTGCTGCCTCATGTCAGAGTGCAGGCCCTTTTTTCAGGGAGAAAAAGAACCCAGACAGCTCACTGTGTTCCCAGCAAGCAAGTTCTGCGGACTTGTTTGCTTCGGCGAAAAGCTCTGCGAAGTAGTTCTGCGAACTCCTGCGCGGTTCTGCGAATCAGGTTCTGTACCTGCGTAGTTTGCAGAGAAGTTCTGCGGAGGAAGCGAGGCCGCCGTTCTGGAGCCGCGGCATCTAGGCTTTGCGATCTTGATTTGGCGTAGCGTCCAGAAAGAAGGCCTCTTCAAGTTTCGAATCATTGCCAGTAATCCACCACTTGATTCTAGGGCTCTCAAGTCATACTGCTAGTGGGCGTTAGACGCGGTACATGGCAAGAGTTGCAAACCTTGTGCCTCCACGGACGCATGTTTGGCTTCCGCAGCGGGTCTGCGAGTGCGCCTGTGTCGCGTGTGTGGTTCAAATTTCTTTGCAGCACAACCAACCAACTGGCCTACATGGGGGGGCTTCCGAAAACCGTTTGGTGACTCCAAGGCACTGCTTAAATGAGGCCGAGCTGCGCGTTGCCATTGCTGGCACCTGCTGGGGACGCTGTGGAACCCCGGATTGGTCAACTTCATTCATCACTTTTGGAGGCTAGCTCCCCCCTACGAATAGGACGGGTTTACTAAGTCAACATTAGCAGTAATCTCATGCGGACTGCCGCCTTGATGAGAACCCAGTAGAGCGGCGACACCATCAAACTCGGAGCATCGACAATGCAGGTGGAGTATTACGTGAATTGCCCCATGGCTGCAAGCTGCTCTCGCAAGGCGCCTGCACGCACAGACCGTAGACCTGATGCGGCGCCCGCCTTAAATTCGCCGACGACAATGCGTGAAATGATGCTTTGCTGAAAGCATGTTTGGCTGAGACGCTGGGCCACTCCGAGGTGGAGCACGCCCGGGCACCCCAGCGCACCCCACCCGGCAGATTGCCATCGCGAAGACGGTTTTTCTCAGCTGCACAACCATATTCAAATCTGGTGCATGTGGCTGAGCGGTTGCCAGGTTTATGCCTTGTCCACCTCTGGGGCTTCCACCATTTTGCAGCACGTCTGGCCGTAGCTGGACTCTGCAAGGCCTTTTGCTTGGCTTCTAGCGTAGCCTCTGTCAGCTGCATCAGAGACAGGCAGACGTCATAGCAGCTGCATGTGTGTCGTTTGTACCTATTGGCCCGCTGCTTGTGATGCACATGTTGTCTTGTGCGTGGCAGGCGCATGGGCAGCTGGGCCCTTCGGGCAAAGTTCCAACCAGACATTGCAAGTCTGGCGAAGCAATCGGGCATCAGCCTTGCCGTGGCAAGTTTGGTTCGGTGCCCGCGTAGGCCTCTTTACGTGCTTCAACTGAGTCAGCAGTATTTCCCATGACCGCGCATCACGCCAGCTGCGAGCAGAGTCTGTGCTCGTTTTTCTTTGTCTACCTCAAGTCTGGGAGGCACAGGCACAGACATCCCTTCTCAAACTCTCACTCGTCCTGGACTTTAAGCATTTTGGACCATTTCGGTGGCAAACAACAAGTTTGGCTACTTTTGTTCAGCCAGTCCACTCAGGAACCTCATCGGGTTCTGGCAGAGGCGCAGAGGCCGTCGGAGCGACGCGGTCAAGTTGGGCAGAGTGCCGCACTCCACGCAGCTTTTGGGCAGTCTTCGCTTTGAGACTCGGAGCGGCTGCGCTTCCGACTGAGTTGGGCAGTTGAACTGGGGGTTTCTCAAAACGGTGGACCCCCTTTTGGATGGTTTCGACTGGAACCAAAGGAAGCCCGCCGGTTTGGGAGTCCCCTGATTTGAGAAACGCCCAACTGTCTGAGAAGGCATGCCTACAGCTTTGACGCCCAAGCTTTGCAGCGAGGCGCTGGCAACAATCAGGCCTGCCGCGCAAGCCTTTGCTGCTTCCGGTGGTGCCTTGCAGCGCTCCTTCGCAGCTGTCTGCCCTGGATCTTGCTGGGCGGTTGCATACTTTGGCTGTGCAGTGACAGGCAACACGAGCTCGCGGAGGCTGCCTTGTCTTTGGGACGTACCTTGCTTTTTGTTTCAGTCGTGTTTACCCGCATGCAAAGCCAAGACGGTTGAGCTGCCAGATTCTTCCTCGAAGAGCCCAGAAGATCTGACATTGTTTGACCCAACGCCGTGCTTGTGGCATTTGGGGGCTTCAGCCCGGTACTTCTGCAACACCTCCCAGCTGGACGTAATCTTTTTGGGAAATCAGCATGTCACCTCTGTGTTGGCCCGGTGTCGCTCCCCTTCTCACCCCGCCTACAGTGCCATGATGTGGGCCAAATCCAGCGAGCAAGCATGTGCTTCATCCAGAACAGGGCTTGCAGGGGGTATGTGTCCGCACCTTGCTTGATCTGACCCTAGTCTTTTCAGAAACCTTTGATTTGCCAAGCACCTTTGTTTGACCCCGGCTCTGAAGTGACATCAAATATAGAGCACTTCCAAGAGGTACGGATTGACTACCCCTCGGAGGGTGCTGGATAGTCTTTGAGGACACCCTGCGCAGTGACAAAGCGCAAAATCAGTTCTTTTACCAAAAGACAGAGTTCCTTGCGCAGCACCGAAGCAGGCCTCCGACCTGCTACTAGGGCAATTCGGCCGTGGCGTGCCTGCAGCCTAGCTGACGCGCATAAATTCCACTTCATATCTTGTCTTCACGTTGCCACTGGCAACGAGGCCTAGTGACGAAATTTATGCCGCTGAGCGCATTGCGACGTGTTCAGAACATTAGGTCTCGATTTTGTGCACCTCGCTGAGCCCAGCTGAGCTGAGAAACCCAGCTCCTTGCAAGAGAAAGTGCAAGAAGAAGAGCAGGCGGCACTACGTTGCGCAAGGCATGGAATGTGCTGAACGGACATGCCTCTGCGGGTGTTGAGGATGCATTGGAAGGCATCACGGATTTACGAGAGCACGCGGCACACCGCGCAGTTGCATAGAACTTTACCAGGAAGCCTGAGAAGCCTGAGTTTCTGTGATGGATTTAACGAGAGCCTGCAAGGCCTGAATTACCAATCAACCTACAGAGCCTGACTCCCGGCCACGAGTGCAACCAAGACTTGGAAGACGTGAGTTTGCCAGGCAGCCTGCAGTGCCTGACATTTGGCGATCAATTTAACCAAAGTTTGCAAGGCGTGACTTTGCCATCCAGCCTGCAGAGCCTGACTTCGGCACATGCTTCAACCAAAGCCTGCAGGGACGCACTTTCGCGGAAAGCCTGCAGATCCTAACTTTCGGCTTGAAGTACAATCAAAGTTTGCTGGGTGTAACTTTGCCTGGCAGCCTGCAAAGCCTGACTCCGGGTGCCCCCTTTTTTCGGGTTGGGGCTTTTTGTCTTTTTTGGATGGTTTGGGGTGTTGTTTGCCTTTGGGGCAGTTCACGCACGCACATGATACTGATGGTGTCCCAGCTACGGCGTGGGCGCTTGATGCATGTCCCCCGTGACATGCGGAACTCATGTGGCTTGGCCAGAGGCAGCTTGCAGAGCCTGACATTTGGCGATCAATGTAACCGAAGTTTGCAGGGCGTGACTTTGCCATCCAGCCTGCGAACCCGTTGTTTCGGTGAGCGGTTCAAAAAAAAGTTCCTGGGAGAGTCTTTGCCAGGCAGCTTGCGCAGCTTGCTTTCGGCCAGGAGCCAGGAGCTTTCGAATGATACATCAAAATTCCTTATTAAACCGCTTACTCGCGGACCCCTTACAATTCAATCCATTTCCTCCAAATCCTATGTGAACCCTCACATTGTTGGAAAAGCAAAAACCCCAAAACCCCCCCCCAAAAAAAAACAACATTTTGGGGTGCATCTTGCAAAGGCCAACACTTCAATCAGAAATTGCAGGGAGTGATGTTGCCAGACAGCCTGCAGAGCCTGGCTTTTGGTGATCAATTCAACCTGCGGAGCCTTACTTGACTCTTGGCAAGGAGCCTGGTCAAAGCTTGCAGGGCATTGATTTTGCGTGTAGTCTGTGCAGATTGCGGGGTGGAGGCATCACCCTGCACTGCGATTGACAAGCTAATGGCCGGCTGACACCATTCGGGAATGAGTTTAGTTTTAGCGCCAGGTTTGGCAGCGGATATGTTTTGGTTTGACTTCAGTCAAAAGGCGATATCCACGCGCGGGCGCTGGTGCCCCACTTGATTGCACGGTAAAATCAATTCATGATTTGGCTTGAGTCAAAAAGACCCCGAAACGGTTAAATTCAACTGCAGCTCAGCTTGGTTTTGTGGTGGAAAACGTGCCCCATGGATGGCCGAGGGTAAGCTCATCATGTGAACTGCCCCCACAGTCTGGTTGTGTGGCTTCAATCTTGGGGAGAGTTGGGTTTGAGTCAACGGCCACAAGCTTGTTTCTTGTTTCTTGGCACTTCCCTTTTGACTACTGTTGGGTGTGTTCAAATGACGCTTCGCATGTGTAAATGCGGTGGTGCCATCGAGTTACTATGTTACAATGTTAACCATGCTAGGCCACCCTTGCGTTTGTATGGCTCAAGGATGTGTTTGTGAATGACTTCCACGCTGTGGCTTCGCACCTGGAGCAGCTGCGCTGATGCCTTGTCATGAAGTGGAAACATGCCTGGATCCTGCCTAAGAGGCCCCAAGCGCTTTGGGATGGGCCCGGGGGATGCTTTTGATCCACATTCACTCTTGCAAGTTTTGCTTGCTCAGCGCCTTGGTTTGACGACTTGGCAGGGACTTCGCATGTGGCCAAGGGTGACTTGAATGAACCCGGGAGCCAGCTTGTTTCGCCCGACGTTTTCTGCTTAGTTGACCTTGTTGAACAGTCTTTGGGTTTCCACCGACAATCTAGCCTCGCATCTTCCCAGCCGGCTAAAATGCTGCGTCAGGCTTTGCCCGTGGCTGTGCGGCGCTGCACACTTAATTTGAGACAGGCAATTTCCATGGGATGCTAGGAGACCAAGTAAAACATGTTGCGGCTTGCTCTGTCACGCAGTGTGGCGAACATTGGCTTGGCTAGTAACATTCTTTGCGAATGCGCTGCGTACATCACTGAGGCCAGTACACGCAAATCATACTCACCGACAAAGCATCCTGGCACATCCAGGCTGAGTGCGGGCCCGCGAGGATCGCGGAAAGCATGGAACGCGCAGCTTGCTGCGAGCTACCCTCAGCTGGCCCGATGCACCGACTCTGGCCGATGGCAAAAGTCAATCTGAGCCTTGCGAGCCGGCGATTGCCCAGGCTTGAAAGCTGGCCTGGAGCGCAGGCTATTGCGGGCGTTTTGCGCTGCCTCATGTCAGAATGCAGACCCAGAAGCCAGACAGCTCACCGTGTTCCCAGCAAGCAAGTTCTGCGGACTTGTTTGCTTCGGCAAAAAGCTCTGCGAAGTAGTTCTGCGAACTCCTGCACGGTTCTGCGAAGCAGGTTCTGTACCTGCGTAGTTTGCAGAGAAGTTCTGCGGAGTGTTCTGCGAAGTTCGGCGAAGCGAGGCCGCCGTTCTGGAGCCGCGGCATCTAGGCTTTGCGATCTTGATTTGGTGTAGCGTCCAGAAGGAAGGTCCCTTCAAGTCTTCGAATCAAGTCACGCCACTGGTAGGCATCAGACGCGCTACATAGCAAGAGTTGCGTTGGACAGCTTACCATTGACATGCCAGGGAAGGCAAGGCGGGATCCAAAGGGAAAAGGAGAACACAGCTGAGAGTGGAAGCGCGTACGGTTTACAAGCAATTTCCTCCGCGGAAGCTCCGGACCAAGAAGGCTAATCTTCAAGAGATACAAATGGTTGAAACTGTTTGCCTCCACGGACGCATGTTTGGCTTCCGCGGCAGGTTTGCGAGTGTGCCTATGTCGCGCGTGAAGTTCAAATGTCTTTGCGCAAAACCAACCAACTGGCCCAAATCCGAAAACCGTTTGGTGACTCCAAGGCAGTGCTTAAATGAGGCCGAGCTGCGCGTTGCCATTGCAGGCACGTGCTGAGGACGCGCTGAGGACGCGGGGGAACCCCGGATTGGTCAACTTCATTCATCACTTTTGGAGGCTAGCTCCCCCCTACGAATAGGACGGGTTTACTAAGTCAACATTAGCAGTAAACTCATGCGGACTGCCGCCTTGATGAGAACCCAGTAGAGCGGCGACACCATCCATGGCTGCAAGCTGCTCTCGCAAGGCGCCTGCACGCACAGACCGTAGACCTGATGCGGCGCCCGCCTTAAATTCGCCGACGACAATGCGTGAAATGATGCTTTGCTGAAAGCATGTTTGGCTGAGACGCTGGGCCACTCCGAGGTGGAGCACGCCGGGGCACCCCAGCGCACCCCACCCGGCAGATTGCCACCGCGAAGACGGTTTTTCACAGCTGCCCAACCATATTCAAATCAGACGCATGTGGCTGAGCGGTTGCAAGGTTTTGGCCTTGTCCACGTCTGGGACTTGAGGCATTTTGCAGCACGTCTGGCCAGCGCTACAGCGGCGCATCTGTGCTGGCGGTTGCTTGGCTCTGGGTTGGCACAGATGGGTACAGCTGGACTCTGCAAGACCTGTTGCTTGGCTTTTCACGTCGCCTCTGGCAGCTGCATCAGAGACGGGCAGTCGTCATAGCAAAGCCGCGTGTGTGTCGTTGGCGCATTTTGGGTCGCTGCCTGTGGTGCTCTTGTTGTCTGGTGTGTGGCAGGCGCATGGGCAGCTGGGGCCCTTCGAGCAAAAGTTCCAACCAGGCACTGCAGGCTGTCTGGTGAAGCGATCGGGCCAGCAGCCTTGCCGTGGCAAGTTTGGTTAGATGCCCGCGTAGGCCTGTTTACGTGCTTCAATTGAATCAGCAGTATTTCCCATGAGCGCGCATCACGCCAGCTGCGAGCAGAGTCTGTGCTCGTTTTTCTTTGTCTACCGCAAGTCTGGGAGGCACAGGCACAGACATCCCTTCTCAAACTCTCACTCGAGTTCCTGGACTTTAAACATTTTGGGTTTGGACCATTCCACTTTTTCCAGTGGCCAAGAAGTTTGGATACTTCTGTTTAGCCAATCAATCTATTCAGAAAGTGAGAACTTTTGCTTAATCACGAACGCCCATCGGGTTCTGGCAGAGGCGCAAAGGCCGTCGGAGCGACGCACCTCAAGTTGGGCAGTGTCTTTCTTCCGGGTGCACTCCACGCAGCTTCTGGGCAGTCTTCGCTTTGAGACTCGGAGCGGCTGCGCTTCCGACTGAGTTGAGCAGTTGAACTGGGGGCTTCTCAAACTTGTGGACCCCCTTTTGGATGGTTTCGAATGGAGACCAAAAGGAAGCCCGCCGGTTTAGGAGTCCCCTAATTTGAGAAATGCCCAACTGTCTGAGAAGGCATGCCTACAGCTTTGACGCCCAAGCTTTGCAGCGAGGCGGTGGCAACAATCAGGCCTGCCGCGCAAGCCTTTGCTGCTTCCGGTGGTGCCTTGCAGAGCTCCTTCGCAGCTGTCTGCCCTGGATCTTGCTGGGCGGTTGCATACTTTGGCTTCTGTGCAGTGACAGGCAACACGAGCTCGCGGAGGCTGCCTTGTCTTTGGGAAGTACCTTGCTTTTTGTTTCAGTTGTGTTTACCCGCATGCAAAGCCAAGACAGTTGAGCTGCCAGAAGCTTTCTCGAAGACCCCAGAAGATCTGACATTGTTTGACCCAACGCCGTGCTTGTGGCATTTGGGGGCTTCAGCCCGGTACTTCTGCAACACCTCCCAGCTGGACGTACGCTTTTTGCAAAATCAGCATGTTACCCTTGTGTCGCCCCCCATATCACCCCCGTGTCACCTACAGTGACATGATAGTCCCTGTGTGGGCCAAATCCAGCGAGCAAGGTCCTAGGGGGTATGTGTCAGCATCTTGATTGATTTGACCCTGGTTTTTATAGAAAACCTGTGATTTGCCAAGCGCCTTAGTTTGACCCCAGCTCTTAAGTGACATCAGATATAGGGCACTTACAAGAGGTACAAATGGACTGCCATCAGAGGGTGCTGGATAGTCATTGAGGACACCCTGCGCAGTTTCAAAGCGCAATTTCAGGTTTCTTTCTTAAAGAACGGAGTTCCGAAGCAGGCCGACGTGAGAGCTGTTGTGTTTGCTGCGTGTTCTGGTTTTGTCAGCCCACGAGCAATTCCGCCAGCACCCGGATCTTGGGTGCCCGCAGCCTAGCTCCCACTGGCAACGATGCCTTAGCGCGAAATGTATGCCGCTGATCGCATCGCGAGGTGTTCAGAACATTAGGTCTCGATTTTGTGCGCCCAGCTGAGCTGAGAGACCCAGCTTCTTCCAAGAGAAGGTGCAAGAAGAAGTGCAGGCGTCACCACGTTGCCTGTTGCGTTTGAGGCAACGCCGCCTGGCCGATGTCACTTGCAGCTGTGCGATTTCCCGGGCCTTGACACAACGCCACATTGGGCCTGCTCAAAAGCTCGGCTCTGGAAATTTAGCCGCGTGTGATGCTGCTGCCGCCCGTACTTTGCAAGCCTTTACCATGAGCAACGTAAGTGTCCCAACCTTTTCATGCACCTGGACACCCTGTGCAGTGTCATGGCCTGAATTCCTTGCGCATCTCCGTAGCAGTTTGATATAGGAGCTGTTCCGGTGTCTGCGTGAGGTGCTGGTTCCGTCGTTGTGGACGTTTTGGCTGCTCCCGGCGTTTCGACAAAGCGTTTTCGCAGTAGCTTGCCCACAAGGCGGGCGTGTGCATGCATTTTGCTTCAGTGCAGTGACAAGGCACATGCCAAAACTCGTGCAGGCTGCCTCGTCCTTAGGCCACGCTTTCTTGCTATAATGCATCCCGCGTGCTGTGTTTGTTCTTCTTCTTTTTTTCTGCCATCAACTTCTTCGATTATCCTAGAAGATCTGACCGTGTTTGATCCAATGGCTTGGATTGTGCTGCCAAAGCAAGCTTTGCAGCGTGTCCCCTCTTCATGAAACGCCACGCCTCCCGGCTGTGCTTTGTGACCCATTGGGCATGTCACCAAGTTTGCCTGTCAGCGGCGCGGATACCTTGCGCAGTCTGTAGAATTGTTGCAAGGCATTGGCGACCAGATTTTCAGGCACAGCCTCGTTCTTCATCAAGGCGATTGCCTTGCATGCTCGAGATGGGAACATTGAACATACTGTGCGCCACCTAGGTTCAAATGAGTCCGAGCCCTGCCTACTTATTTCAGTTGGGAAGTGCGTTTTTGCCACCACAGGGGTTGGTGGCCTAGGATCTTATTCCTGCCAACCTGCGTTTCCACCACTGAATTTGGTGTTTTTAGGGAGACGGAAAGGGATGAGGGTGACGAGGGGGCCGGGTTGCAAGTGGGAGGCCGAGAGCAATCCAGTTACCTTGGCGCGGTTGGAGGATGCCATCCAGGCACGGAGGGTCAGAGAGTAGGTGAGTAGGTGCCAAGCAGATCAGAGCCTAATGTTAGTCCATTGGCTGTCACAGTTCTGCAATGGATCGGCTTGTGTAAGAAGTTTCCTGTTTTGTGGCAAAAGTGTTTCACGATTTTGGGACGGCATTGCCTTTCTGGCTTTTTGGCGTTCGACTTGTTGGCTTCTGCGCTTTCCGGCCTTTCTGGCTTCTTGCCTTGGAGTTCCATACTTTCTCGGCTTTTCCAGCTTCTTGGCTCTTGTTTCTACATGTCAAGGTTCTCGCATTTCTGTTCTCCTGTCGTCTCTGGCTTGTCGGTCTCTTTGGCCTTAAAACAATGCCGCCCATCATTGGAGCGGACGTGCGCCTGAGCGCTCAGGCTCTTACGCAAGCGCTGTGGTATGTGTGTGTGTGTCTCTGTGTCTCTCTGTTTCAGTCGTGTGCGTGCCTGTGTGTTGTCTGATGTGGTTGTGGATGTGTGCATGTGCCGCGCGCGCGTGTGTGCGTGCGTGCGTGCGTGCGGGCGGGCGGGCGTGCGGGCGTGCGTGCGGGCGGGCGGGCGGGTGCGTGCGTGCGGGTGCGTGTGCGTGTGCGTGTGCGTGTGCGTGTGCGCGTGCGCGTGCGTGCGTGCGTGCGTGCGTGCTGCGTGCGTGCGTGCGTGCGTGCGTGCGTGCGTGCGTGCGTGCGTGTGGGTGGGTGGGTGGGTGGGTGGGTGGGTGGGTGGGTGGGTGGGTGGGTGGGTGGGTGTGTGTGTGTGTTTGTGTGTTTGTGCGTGCACGTGCACGCGCACGTGCACGCGTGCACGCGCGCGTGTGTGTGTGTGTGTGCACGTGCACGTGCACGTGCGTGTGCGTGTGCGTGTGCGTGTGCGTGTGCGTGTGTGCGTGTGTGTGTGTGCGTGTGTGTGTGTGTGTGTGTGTGTGTGTGTGTGTGTGTTTCTCTGTGTGTCTCTTTGTGCGGGTCTCTTTGTGTGTCTCTTTGTGTGTCTCTCTGTGTGTCTCTCTGTGTCTCTCTCTGTGTGTCGCTCTGTGTGTCTGTGTCTCTGCGTGTGTTTCTCTGTGTGTCTCTCAGTGTGTGTCTCTTTGTGCGTCTCTGTGTGTGTCTCTCTGTGTGTGTCTGTGTGTGTGTGTGTGTTGTTTTGTGCGTGTGTGTGTGTGTGTGTGTGTGTGTGTGTGTGTGTGTGTGTGTGTGTGAAGCGTCCTGGAGCACGGACGGAAATTCCACATTGCAGGGGGACCAGGCGTCTTGCTGCTGACCTGGTCTAACAAAGCTAGGCAGCAAGACGGGATACCGGAATTGGCCATTCCGGCGTACCTGCCATCCTTTCGTGACCTAATGTGTTTCCTCGGTTTACCACTGTTTGCTTCATGTTCGGTTTCGATGATGTGACATTTGCACTGCAGATTGATTTTTTCATGCCCTTTCAGTACAATCGCGTGTCTGCAAGAGCAGCCTCTCGAGATAAGTGTGTTTACCCACGGCCTGTCCGACATGGCGCTGTGGGCTGGACTCGCCACATGCGGGAGCCCCCTGCGAGGGGAAGACCGTTCATACGTTCAAATTCAACCTGCCGTTCAGCGCGTTTGACCACGATCAAGGCTGCAGCTTGAGGTCTTAAGGTATTCCGCACCCAAATGGTGCTCTGCTGGTTTCATGCGCGTTGCACTGCCTGCACTGCCTGCCTTTGAAGCAAGGCTGCACCCACGAGGTTTCAGGTTCCTAAGCTTCATGCGCCAGTGACGAGTTGGTCATACACCAACTCTGCAATTCGTGGTGTTTATGGAAGCTTTCGTCTCGGATGAGTTCAGTTCAGATTCATCGGCATAGCCACATGAGGCACTTTCATGAGGCCACTTGACAGGCACCTCTGAGAACCCCTTTGTGCTCGCATGCATTTGCACCATTGACGCATTTTTGCTCGCATGCATTTGCACCATTGACGCATTTTTGCCGCAGTTGTGGTTTTGTTTCACCCCTTTCCAACCTTCTCTCTCCCTTGCGAGATGGCTGGACACCAGCTCTATGACATGATGCATTCGCTCCTGCACAGCATTGCGACCGGCACCGCGTCCGGCTCACCAGGCAATTGTGGACCGAACTTGCAGCTGTCATCCCAGATGACGCAGCCCATGAACCTTGTACCGTCACCCAACTCGCAGACGGCATCCTTCACACCTTTCCCCATGATGCCCTACGGCGGCCTCTCGAACTTTGGCAACCCGATGGCCATGATGCCCTACGGTGGCCCTCCCAATTACGGCAACTTGGCACCTGGCACCATCATGCCTTTCATGACTCAGAGCAGCATGCCATCTTCACTGCCCGAGCCTCAGCCGGCGCGCGCGCCCGAAGCTGCCGCTGCGGCTCCTGCCGCTACCTCCTCAACCAACCACCCTCCCCCGGACACTCGGCACCATCCCCACTCTCGCAGATCCCGTTCCCGCCACAGGCAGCACCGACACTCCCACTCCCACACCAGCCACCATCGCAGGCACAACAAGTCGCACCGACGACACGACACCCGACGATCCCGCAGCTACAGCAGGTCACGTTCCCCTTCCCGACACTTCCACCACTCCCGACGTGCACACCACTCCACTGTCTCCCTCCGCTCCCGCTCCCCCCGACACAGGTCCCACCATCGACACTCCCCTGCACCCAGAGCCACGACTTCGCACCGACCCACTCACACTACTCATGATTCCACCTCCTGGCGCACTTCCGGGAAGGATTCCAACAAGTCTCAATGGTCCTCCTCACACTGGCGGAACCAATCGTGGGGATACCCACCACAGAACAAAAACCGCTGGGACATGCACCACCATGGCGCCAGCCACACCGGCCACCGAAACAACCAGGACAAACGATCGTCCTGGTCACTGCAGCACCATGGGCAGCAACCCCACCCCACTTCCCGCACCGGCCACCACAACACTAGCTTGCCCCCTCACCCAGCACCTGCGGCGGCCTTCACTTCCACTCGACCCACGCCGGCTACTCCTCACCCTCCCCAACCCCCCTTCGACAACACCGGTGATTTGGATCCCCCTCCATCGGAGGCGGACATCAATGCCACCACCACTTCCGACAACCGGTGGCTTGATCTATGGAGAAACGTCATGGACACGGCCAAGACTGACCCGCTGCGAGTTCCCACGCCTAGGGAGTTGGGGGAGCTGGACCCGCTTCCAGCCTTGGACATCTCCAGGGTGGAACAGACTAAGGCCATTTTGATGGACCTGGACCCTGCTTTGCCACCTTCACATGCCGATCTCCTCGCGGAATGCTGGGAACTGCGAACCATGGACACGGATGATCCCATACCGTTCGATCCCAGCTTCTACCACCTCTTGGGACGGGAATCACACGGCATGGTGTTCGCAACCACTTGGTTTCCCCGACCTCATCCTTGGCCAGTTGCTGGCGGAGACCCGGA